AAGCGTTTCAAATTACTAGAAATGAAGTTTTTCAAAAACTCAAAAGATTCCTGTAAGAACAAGCTTCAAATATCGCATTTGCAGTAACGCTTCAACACCATTTTTTTAAATACCTACGAAGTTTTCAACAAAAAATTCCATATATGACCAAGTTTTACTCTTCTTTAATATTCTAAAATTAATATTTTGGTTCTCCCATTAGGAAACTGAAAAATTCAGAAAATTTCGAAAAAATGTCGTTTGGGCGGCGATAGATGGCAGATGGCAAGAAGATGGAACAAGGCCTAAAAGCGATTCCAAAATAATAATAATAATAATAATAATAATAATAATAATAATAATAATAAAAACTAGTACGAGAAAGAATGTGCCATTCTGTAGTACTAGTTTCAGTGTTCTTCAAGATTCACCAAATATTATTAGAATCTCGAAATGAAACTGGAACTGATTAAAATTAGAAGAAATTAGTTACGTGAATTAGTGCCTGGAGACATGAAATATATTTTTACTTTACTTACTACGTACGTATATAATGAGTAATTCACGTAGTATAGGAAAAATCATGTAATGCTGCGGAAAATCGATTTCGAGATTTCAATTGAAATACGTTTTGAGGTCCCTTGATACCAAAAGTGGTGTAGTTTTTTAAACCGTTGTCCATAAGTGTTAGTGCATGTGAACACTAGCGCCTAAACCACGCGAAGGATTTTTTTCCAAATTGAAGAAACCTCTGTCAATTTCTTCTGAGTCGAAGCTCCGCGATTTTGAAAATCATTCATTGTTTTTTTGGGGTACTTTACATGAAGACCCTGGGACTTTCAAAATTTTCTCAAAAATGGGTTCAAATGTTTTTTAAACATTTTTTATAAGAATAGGGTAAAATCACATATAAATGAGGCATAGGCAAAAGTTCACTTCGGCGTATTTTTTTCGTTTCTTCAAAAAGTACCCAAATGTAATTTTTTTTTAAGTTCTCTCTCGCCGTACTATGTACGTTTAAATAAATTTGTAAACAGTGTTGTATTTGTGAGGTAAAGTGCTTCAAATGAAGTTTTTCTAAAATTAAAAATTTTTCTGTGAAAAAGTGCTTTTAATTTCGAATATGCTGTAGCGCCTAAGCGGTATTTTCTTAAAAACGGATCCAAATTTTTCAAAGAAAATTGACATTTAGGACGCTGTTTACTGTTCTTTAATATTCTTAAAATAATATTTCCGTTCTATTTTATTGGGAAACAAAAAACGAAGAATATTTCAAAAAAGTGAACTTTGAGCGGCGATAACTGTAGCTGGCAAGATATGGCAAGTTTGTATAGCTAGCAGAAACCAAGGGAAATAGAAAACTAAAATGGGAAAGCCGTTGCCATTGTGTAGTACCACTAGTTTCTATTATATTTGTGTATATTGTAATTAATATTTATTTTTATATTATATGTAAGTATTTTATAACAATTGTATGACAACAATATAGTAAAATATTGATAAAATCTTATACTTTTAATTTGTGTTTGGAAACAAAACATTAAAAAAACTCGTATTTTCTTATCTCCTGAGCAGGTGATTTCAATCTGGTGTCGTAAGAAATTAGTCCACAAATCTATGCAAAAGTTATCCTTTTAGATATTCACATTTATTTAAAATCTCAGTTTAACAACTTTTATTTCATTTTAAGATTTCACTTCTTGAATACTTCCATTAGAGAATGTAGTTGTTACACCTTCCTCGACAGAAAATTTTGGGCAATAAAAATTTGAATGGAAGCGCTAAACCCCTCCGCTAGGAACTTTGAGATTCCTCTAATTGATCGCAATCGGTAGCATAATATAAGCGGTCAATATAATTTTCACCATAATCGTAATACTCTGAAATGTTACTGCCCGCATTTTAAAAATGGCATCTTAACAAGTGAATTTATTGGAATTCTACCCTCATCTCCATTACAACTAGCCAGAATAAATAACTTCGCATCAACGGAAGAAAAAGGGCCGGGTTTTTCCACTATTTTTTACCATATTACCGCTACTTTTCGATCTACATAACTTTGATGTTGATAACTTTTGAATTAAGGACCAATCATGTGCCTATACGTGCGAATTTTTAGGACGAACGCGGAAGAGACTGCTTTCAGTTAGATGGGATTACTTCATGAAGTAGCTGCTACCTTTGGTCGGTTTCAATGACACGGCCTGGAGCCTATGTTCCCATGACGAGTACAGGAGAGCACACGCTCTCGAGGGATTGCATCACGAGGGACCTGGCGGAGGAGAAAAGTTCACGTGTATTGTAGCCACCGCGCGGTGCCTTGTCCATGAGCATTGTTCGCGTTTTGCAGTTTAAGTTGCAGATGAAATGATACCTCTGTTACTGTCTTGGAATCAACAGTCCTTAATGCCGTAAAATTTGCTTACTGTTTAATTTATAAACATTATTTTTATTATTTCTAATGGTTTATATTTTGGGCAATAGTACGAGAAAAAGACACATCAACATAAAAGGTATTTCCTATTCCTTCATTTTTATTTAAACTAAAAATGTACTTTTAGGGAATTAAAAATGGATCGTTAATTTCAAACAAGTGGTCATAACGTTCATCAAATGGGTAAACAGATACGAAATATTACCACTTTTTTAAACACATGATTTTTAGCCAGTATGTTTAATCAAAATACAATCCATAGTTACATGACATTCAAAATACAGTCATCTCTGCAGATGGTGCAGTGAAATCGATAAAAACGAACTGGCACGCAAGGGCGCTGGCTGTCCTTGGCGCACATGCTATACGAGGTCGCTTAGCGGTTGATCAGCAACTCATACAGTGCGCCAATAATTCGGTCACCCGAAGAAGGCAATGTTCATTCAATTCTTCCCGAAAGAAATACTAAAAAGAGCACCTCTGAACGCGCAGCTCTAAACAACAAAGAGTGTTGCCAAAGTATGGAATGTACAACGTCCGTAAATGATCGGCTACGGTTTTAATGCATTGGCATTCCACGCGGCCGAATTGAACCCGTTCACCTTGCAGCGTTCCTCGACTACTGGACTTTAAATACTGAACTAGCTGCTCGGCCTCTTGGCGCGTGTCATGTGACTGCGATTGTACCTAAGTTAACAGTGTACGGCTCTTCATCTAGAATGGCCTTCGCCACTTACGGTTGGAATGGTTCAAAATGGGCAATGTAGTCATCCCGCCCCGTAACTCAGCACGAAGACTTCGTTTAATATTGTCGGGACCATTTCGAACCACATTGAATTTTTTGCATAATTAACTGGATCCATACTCTATATGAAGACTTTCGAGGCAGGAAAGAAGGTAAGTATATTTCCTAGTTATTTTCGTAAATTATGTACCTTACATAAAAAAGATTGAGTTAAATGACATACTTCATCAAATTTAATTAACTTAATTTAACTTAAAACTTGCCATGCATAAAGTAGGCACGACAAGGGGACGCATGGACATTAAAATATATCTGATTCTCTAAATCAATTTTACAATATACTAACCTCATTTACCTACCACTCATTGCCGCTCCTTGCCATTTTCATGTCGCATGAAACTGGCATGCCTTTGCACGGCGATAAGCTCTCGTCAGCACCGCATTCGTAGAATCTCTGCAGTTCCCGGCCACGAGTGGTGAAATGCGTCTTTAGGACGTAGAATGAACTTTCGAGAGAATGTAATTGTATATTTCGTTCGAGCGTGAAGCGAATTTTTTTCGTTTGCTAACTTGCATAAAATAATTTTTTAATCACTGGTATTTAAAAATTGTAATTGATATTTTTAATAGAATTATATTTTAAGACAAATTCCCATGAAACATAGTAAAACATTTTAAAATAAATATTGGCGTTTTAAAGAAATGTTCCGTTTAGTTAAATTAATACGCACGATACTAGTTACTTAATCATCGCTAGAAAGGTTTTGTTCTCTTTAAAAAGAATAGATAATTATAAAAGATGCACACAAAAAGAGCTAAGGTACAGTTTGTCCTTTATATTGAGAGGAATTCTGGGACCCCATAAGAAAGAAAAAGGATCTCTACAATAGCCTTCCAAAAAATCGCCATTTCAACAGGATAGGAAGACTCAATGTAGAATGTTTAGATCTTATAAATGCCAATACAACAGTAGCACAGCTTCCAAACATCGTGCATTATTTTAGAAGGGTGAGTAGCATTGTCCAGCGTTTCTTTTTTGCTTCTTCATTTGAAATTTGACAATATCTATTTTATTAGTCTGAAAGTGTCGTCGCGAAAGGCTCCGATGCTTTGGAAAGGGTCCTCAGTACTAATTAGTTGATGCGTTTCCACAAGAATGGTAGTGTAAGCCCAGCTGCACCACGGGGGCGTCGGTTAATTTCCGATCGTGAGACACGCAAGCCTGCTTTTTTAAATTTTGTTTTACACAGAGAGTGGCGAGCGTCTCGACTCGTGATTGGGTACAGCTCTCTTCACCATCAAAATGTTGTATTCTGAAACAGCAGCGACTAGCTGCAATGGAATGCTGCAGCTCGAATACTAAGAGACTTTTTAAATAATTAATTTCATGAATATCGAATTAATTGCATTTTAGTTTTGGCGCAAAACATTTCTGAAGATTTTCAATATAGCCTTAAGAAGGCATATTGAGAAAAAATAAGCATGGTTTTGAGCATTTAAAAAACCCAAAACATCTCAACGATATTGCGTCCTTCCCCCTACCCCAACGTTTCAGGTAGACCTGGGTACTAGCAACAAATCTATAAATGGCCACGCCTTGTTTGAATTCTAAAACAGCAGCGAAATTTTATGATTTTATACAAACTTTCATAACAAACCTGTATTTCGGATATTCCGTACGAGTACGTACAAGGCTGACAGTCGCAAACGAAAAGTAATCCAAATTAAGATTTACGAGTATTCTTTTTCGAGCTTAGTTTTCTGTTACTGCTAAACACTGGATCACTCATTCAAATAACGAACATTTACAAAATTGAGAATTATTCTCAATCTAAGATGATTCGGGGGTATCAAACATTACAATATTAAAAAAAATATTTATTTATAATCACATACAATAGTCTTAATGACGGGCCGTTCCATTTAAAAATACGCTTCTCTAATTCTATCGGAACGTAATAAATAATGTATTATAACAATCTGGAAGCACATTCTAAATTGGCTTCAAATTGTAGTATTGCATGCTATATCTAGACACTTAAATTTGCACGTTATGTTTTTGTAGTTCCAAATGTTAAGCATGCAAAACTCTCATTCTTCTAATGATTTTTGTCCTCGGCAACTTTGCTTTAGCCAATGCACCAAAATTGTGCACAGGTGTTTGGATCTCCTGAAGAATGTTATTAGTACCTGGTTATCGCTTATTTATCCGAGAAGAACGCTGTCTTGAATTTCAAGATACTTGGCGAGACAAAATCTACACAAGACTAGCCATTTATTGCCGTATGTACTACAATCTACTGAACTACAGCGTGACAGCGAAAATTCAATGTAAAAGTTGGTCAATGGACAAGTTTTTCCTAACAAAGTAAATTTTTACCAGAAGCGCACCCAAGGAGACTTCACCCCCCTTCCAAGCCAAAGATTCATATTAAAACGTACGTCAATTATCGTTAACGTTATAAACTTTAACAAAATGTTCAGCATAAATTTTTTTATTAAGATAAAGTCTCGACACAGCCCTCCCCCCTTCCCATAAAAATATTTGGATATATCTCTTTTTACCAATTAGGTTTATTTCAATACAATGTAATTTCGCAAATTGTACTTTACTTCCCGAAGACTTACTGAAGGTCGAAATACCTACCCCCCTGAAAACTTCACCCAGTCGTGCTATCTCAGTCGGCTTTTGTTAGCAATCGTGCGTCATGTGGCTAGTGAGGTCAATCGGCTCCGAGAGGCGACCCAGCCACCCGCAGAGGCGCGGGGCGCGACGAAGCGCGCTCCCACGCGGCTTCATCCCGCGTTCCCAGCGCCCGCGCGCGCACTTTCCCCCTTGTCGCAAGTGGCGTCGGCGGCTGCACGGCGCCGCCCCGCGCCAACGCTGAAGGTTTTGTCAGCTGCTTAAGCAACGGCGAAAACCGCCCTAGCTGCAGCTGATGCTGGAGCGAGAATGACTGCAGCGGGGTCGGTAGTTCTCAAGCAGCAGGGTGCGAGGCGGGGGTTTCCGATCTAGGCCTCCTAGGTTCTTGCAACATGACCCGGGCGTGAGCGAATGTGCCCCAGTTGGCACTACGAACGGGCATTGGGGCAAACGCCAAGCGGAAGGAAGGCGATGCTCTTCGCGTCGCTCGATTTACGTAACTGCACTTGCCTGGATCCTCGCGCGCTCTAGTTGCGTTCATAGGAACTAAAAGCGCTCTTAGGAAGATCACTGGATGGCTTCCAAAGTAGCGCCGACCCGAAGCCCACTTCAAGAGAACGTATCCGTACTAACCTCCCTAAAATATTAGGACGTCATTAATAGTCAATACTACCCTTTTAATCCTACACATTGGGCTTTGGGACCATTTGTATTTACTCTGAACCTACTTTCATTTTTTTTAGTCACTGTCATACCAGACTGTAGTTCAAATGATAGGGAAAGGAATAGTGAGCCTGGAGAAATGTACTACATTTTTTTTTTTTAACATTCTCATCTCTTCATTCATTGAAGGCCAATACAGAATATGAACCAATTTACAAAAACAATTCAGTCAGTCTACAACAACCAGAAATCAACCATAATACTAACCTAAGTGATGGGGATGGAAATGATTAGGAAGGTTGGGCGTATTTGAAGTAATTACATGCCAATTTAGAGCAGCCTGCCGAAGCCACTTCTCTAGTTTACTCGTTCTAACAAGGCTGTACAATGGAATCATTCTCCCTGCATTACCAAATAGAGGCCAACAATGGATACAAGGTCTGGCCAACATACAAATCACAATATACACGTCAAGTCATTGAACATTAATTTAGGTTATAATTTACAGAAAAAACTATTGCTGCAATTTGCAGTGGATGTTAAAATTCCCACTCACTTCTGTCCTATTGTGAAACCTGTGCTGGCAGCCCACGTTCTAAGAGGCCACAAGCCATGGAATAAAGAAGCAGGACTGACGACAAGCTGCAGGGCAGCGGTCTGTGAGGAACTGTGCACAGATGTCCACACAAGTCTTCAGCCCCTTTTGGTGCACGTTCTCAAAACAAACCACCACCATCAGACGACACCACTTTGGCTTCACAGCCCCCTTGATTATTCCATGGGAGGCCCACATCCCTTAAGTCCCACCCCATAACGGGAAGGTTGAACCTCCATGGTAATGAGTAGGCAACTAAAATGCAATTAGAATGCAAACAGCAACAAGAACGCCATCATGAGACAGAACAGACCCATGGCCTCAGACAAGGCGAAACCCAGGATGGCGTAGGAGAAGAGCTGCTGCTTCAGGGAAGGATTCCTGGCATAGCCGATGATGAGGGAACCGAACACTGTACCGATGCCAGCACCTGTAACAAACAACTGGGTAGACAATGGCTCTCCAAAACCTAACCTGCGAAACTCATGCTCTCCAAATGCATTAAGCCATGCTGATGTATTAATGTATCAGGTTAAATCAAGACAATGATAAGCAAACAATACAATTTATCATAATGAAACTGCATTGTGGGAACTTCCAGCAACAAAAATTCCTCAATCAAAATTCATTCCTCACAAGTAGATTGTCACAATTGCCTGCAACCTATCAACCTCAAACCACAACCAAAACCAAAACCAAAACAGGGGTACAACACCAACCAGACTACACTACAGCACAAAACTATTTATTTTTAAAAAAATATTCAAAATTAGGAAAAACAGGGAGGAAAACTTAAAAAACATTTGTTTTATTATTTTAATTATATTACACTACTTCACAACATACAAAACATATCAAATCAAATATCACAGTATTCTCAGTGGACTAAAAACTGAGCTAATATTTTTGCTACATAAAACATCACAGACAAGATACTGTACATTGAACTAACACAAAATCTTAGGAACTTTTCCCAGAGGCAAGTTTTTTATCACACTTTTATATCACAGAATTATTAGTTTCTTAAGTCTTTGGCTCCTGATCCTATATTTATTTCTACACTTTGCCTTTTCTTGGCTGAATACTGAACTTTAAGATGTTGACTAGAACTTTTTAAACAAGTTATCTTAATAATCCTACTAATGTACAAGTTACATCAATTATCTTAAATGTCATTGAACATGTATAAAAAATCCCCATTTCTGCAAGCAAGGGTATACATCACATTGCAAAAAGCAAAATGAACGCAATCATCAAGCAAAAAAGTCCCATAGCTTCAGACAGCGCAAAACCCAGGATAGCATAAGAGAACAGCTGCTGTTTCAACGTAGGATTCCTAGCATAGCCCATTATCAAAGACCCGAACACCATACCAATCCCAACACCTGCAAAGACCAAACATAACATAGGACGAACACAAAATTAGGTTAAAACAAAGCCAGGAAATTTAAGGAAGACATGCAAAAAAAAAAATAAAATAAAATAAAACCAAGCACTTTTGTACCATGCCTCGTTACAGAAAGAGCCCTCAGTAGCTGTGTGGTCAGTGGCAGAGTAGTCTGAATTGAGTTTTGGAGCTATCCAACTTGCACATTACACTCAAACAGCTGGCCATGGGAGTTTCCAAGGGCAATGCTGGTGGCCTCCTCCAGAAGGAATCCCCAGCCATTTCCCAGCCTGCCCGCCCTTTTCAAGTCCCCCACACCTCATTATGAGGACACCCGGCTGGAGTGTAAAATGGCCCTAACTCAGACCTTCCCGGGGCTGAAGAGGTAACATAGTACCTTGTAAGTGAGCCCCTTGTGCAAGCTTACCACTGCCCACCAGTGAGCATTTCATCACAGGGCAACTGATCAACCTGGCATAATTCAGTGTTAGGAAGCCACACCCACATGAAAGAAGGTAACCATCAGCACATCCAACTGCTTACCTGAGCCAGCCACTCCAACAGTGGCAGCACCAGCACCAATAAATTTTGCAGCTGAATCAATATCTTTGGTTACAGCAGTTGTTTGGAAATTGCGAACAGCAGGCAGCTGAAACAAATTACACAAGATATTGAATGACTTTTAATAACACTTGTAAATGCACATTTTTTCCTTTACTTCAAAAACCTCATCTTCAAAGCTTGTTACTCTAATAAATCATTTAAAATTTCCAAATAATATTTGTCTATTGCATTATAATATTAAATTGAAGTATCTAAGACAACAGTGACCTGACTGCACTAATTAGATGGCAGGCCACTTTTGCTCTCATAGCAAAAACCAGATAGGCATTTATGCTCAGATTCAATTTGGAATCATGTATTTCTATAATGCAACTTCCCTTTCCGCAAGATCTCTTTTTACCAAAGTTGTACCCAAGTGTGATTCTCCATTGCATTACACAATGCTAGTGTTCATTAATTTAAAACGTTTAACAAATTAACACCTTCCCAATGACCAACATCAATCCAATTATTGCAAAGATCAATTATTTGTAGATTACATAATAGATCCATAGATTACCTATTTACAGAATGACCTCCGAATTCTTCATTTAAGCGTCCTAAACTTATTCACTTCATATTGATGCAGTGACCTTATTATGACATTGACAAAAAACATCTCAGTTCTATGAACACTGAACTATATCTGAAATACTGTGAAGTCAGTTTTGCAATTAGTATTGACCCAAAACCTTTGGTTTGTAATTAAAAATTTGATAATGGTTTTAACAGCTTCGCTTCACAAACATGAATACTTAGACAAATCATGGAATACTATAAGCAAACTAGAAATTGTCTTATCCTGCTACCTTAAATTTTTAGTCCTGCTACTCTAATTTAGTACTCATTTCCTATACCAGCATGTTGCTTGCAACAGTACGCATCCTACAATCCGAATTAAAATTGCTACATTTAAGGTGTGTGATGGATTCACCTTGATTAAATCCAGATTCATTTGGAAAAGAACAAATTAACAACTCACCAAACTAACGGTGGGGGCGGGCTGCCTGTGTTGGCTCAAAGGACTGCTAGGTAGAGTTACTACGCTGCTGAGGGGTCGAATGTAAGCTCGGGAGGCTCCAGACACCAGCTGCAACACGAATTGCGGTCACGGAAGGGTACTGACGGGGTAGACATTTTGTGAAGGCTACAGCTAACGCAACTTACAGCGGTCCTCGCAACGGGGGCGATAAGTCGGTGAAACATTGTGGCTTCGGTGGTAGTTTTTGTTTCTTCTCTAAACCTGAAATAACACTGGGCATTTAAAAAATCCTTCAAGACCTTACTACATAACCTACCAATTACCTCTCTCACTCTCAAGTAGTTTGAAACTTACTGGCCAAATTGCACTTTTTGAACAAGCAAGCAATTTGAACAAGCAACTCTACAAAAAGTAATTCTAAAATAATACCGGCATCTCTAAGATGGCGGGTTAGCTCATCAGTACGGCCTTACACTTTTCCCATTTCAAGCGAATTAACATTATTTAAGTAAACTACTAGCAGACAGAATATTTACTTTCAATATGTGGCTAGTTACAACTCAATGGAATGACCGATGGTTAGCAAAACTACCATAAATTCACAGATATGATACTCACTTCCCCTAGCAAGTCCAACTTACCAAGGAACAGAAGTGAGGAGGAAGCAACCCAGACCCTACGGAGGCAAATTCACGAATGCGAAATAGACGGACGGTAAACGGAACGTTCCTCCCTCCGTATGTAGAAAGGCCAACCACAGGGACGTTCCGTTTGCTTAATGCAACACGTTTTCACATCGCAGCTGTATCGACCGGCCGAAGACGACCGAAGCGAAGCCGATCGCCGTTCGGCGCAGTTTCGACGGAAACCGCGCAGAATTCAAGTGTCAACATACTCGCTATTAGTGTACCATATTTTCGCACATTCACTAACAATTGTGTATTTTGTATTCTTTTTCCATTTGTTTGTTTTCTGTTGAACATTTAACGTAAATAAGAGTTGTAAAGGGGCTCAAGAACATAAGAATTCGCGTGATAATCGTATTTGATTAACATGGCCGCGGTCTTTGAGAACATCTGTGAGCGGACGGAGGGTAGCGGAATTTTGTACTTATAATTAAAATTGCGTAGTTCAATTTTATTTTTCATGGCGTACTTCGATATGCCACTACATAGATACACGAGGAACAGTGTAAATATTAAGTTGTCATTGGTAAGAAAGCTGTTTTTGTCGTGTGCATACGTGCGATCATTTATTTCGTGTGATTACATGTTACGTTATGTAATGTGTGTAAAAGTGACCGTTATGCTGTGAATTAAGAAAAAAATATTCACTAAATACTTTCCGAAAATAAGTATTTGTATATTTTTAATAACTCAATCTTATATTCATATTTTTTCAGTAAATTTTGTAGCGCACGGTTTATTAATGCGTTTCTTGGCGGTTAATAGCAAAAATAGATATTGAATGTTTATCGAGATTTTAATTTATATATTTCTCCAGTATACATGTTGATTTACATTCCTAAATTGAAATGATAAATGACTATTACTGTATTTTGTTATAGTAATAAACTGTCTGAAAAATGTTACCTTGCTGTCATGTTAAACAGCATTAGTAACAATCAACAAGCATATCGCAATTATTTTGAGTCAAATTTTTTTTATATTCTGAATAATTCGTATCAATTATTGATACGAACCATCGATTGAAGTAGAAATATCGATATAAGAAAATGTTGACAGTATATTATAAAACTTTTTTTTAGATGCATTTAAAAAGAAATGACCAACATGTTAATAGAATATAAAGCCTTTGCCTACTAGAGCTCCACTCGCTTAAAAATATTTAAGGAGACCAATTTGAAGACCAAAAAAAAGTGATATTGATTTTGTGGAGATTGAACAAATGTATCCTAAACCATTAGAGAGAAGAACAAGAGGGTCAGTTACACTATAACCACTCAAATTACTGTTATGTAGAATTGATATATAATTTTATGTATACATTGAATTATCTTTTGTTTTGTGTCTGGTCTGAATGTATAGGAATAGCTAGTATTCAATTTGCTAGATGATAACTAGATAAGTTTTGCCAGCATCTTTGTTCCATACAAAAATATTGTAGGCATTAAGCCTCTGTGAAAGATGGAACTGAGTTCTGTCTTATGTTATTTCAGTTATAGTCATTATTAAAAAAAATCTTCTACCATCTTCTATTCTCTTTATATTTGTTATTATTAAACTATGAAGTGTTTTAGTTATGCCTACTCCATAATTAATGATATTATTGTGCCAAATTGTCTTTGACATTAATCATTATCTAGATATCATACATAGTTCATTGCTTCAGATGCACTTAAAATCAGAATAACTTGTGTAAGGATATTAATTGCCTCTTCCTTCTAGTTTCTTTGTGTTTTTGCCCAAAATTGAAAAATTATATTTAGGAAAAAAGTTCATTTTTAAGTGGTGTACTTAAAAGCAAAAGTGTATTTTACATGCATCTTTTGGAGGTGACAATGCTCCTTAGGAATTAATGTCAGTTACTATATTACTTGTATTTCAAGCTGTCCAAAGAGCTTGTTTTGCTTTATCCTTAAAAATAAGGAGACACACTTTTACCTTTGAGTCCAAATTCATATTATTCATCAAATTCCTGTAATTCCAGGAAATCTAAGATAACTAAATAGCCATGATGTTTGCTTTTTATAATATCTGTGCAAAATACTTGAACTATCTTATAGATTAATGTATGGATCATTATATTTTCTCTCCTGACTATGTAAAAAAGGAAAAAACCTCCAGTTTCTTCTAACAGTGTAATAGAACGAGTTTATGTTCTTTAAAATTCAAGTCATTAGTGTATATTCGATATCCATTTTACTTCTTTATATTCTATTGTGTAAATTATACTAGTTTTTAATAAAATGTGAATAGCTAGGAAAGGAAGCGGAAAAGTATTTAGCATCCTCCTCTCTCACAAAGAAAGTATGGAAATTGAAGTTGTTTGTTAGATGAAAAAAACTCATTCCAATTAGTGGGGTCACAACTACATACATTTTCGCATTCTAAATTTGCCATTTGTGAATTGTCGAAAATTAAGAGAGTTAAAAGAAAATTAGGTCTGCACTATTGTTTTAAGTGTTACTTCTGTCCGTGGGAAAAATTGGGGTGGTTTGTGATAAATTGTGTGTGTGGTGTTTATATATATAATAGAAATAACATAAATTTCAAGCTCAAATCACGCAAAAACTACTCCTTTTTTTAGTGTACATAATTTTTTTTAAAAAGCTGATTTTTTTACAATGAACTTTGCGGTGAAATTTGGAGCGTTTCTTTTAGAAATAAATTGTTTAAAAAATTATAGTTGCTTATATTTCGCGCAAAATTACACGAAAACAACTCGTATTTTGAAAATTTGAACATGACCTTATCAAGATCAGTCTTTAAATAATAAGATATATTAAAGAAAAAAGTATATCTTTAATATTATTGTAGAAAGTCAACGCCAAAAAATTACACTTTTGCAATTTTCGAAAAATCTGGTATTTCAACGAAAATGAGACCTGCAACATTCTCGTAAAGCGTCGTTACACTTTACGAGGACGAAGATAAATAAACAAATTGGTGCCGTTTTTGAGAAAGTTTTTAATGTTTTTGAGGCTTCATGTACAGTGTCATCAAAAATCAAAGCATCCATTTGAAAATCTCAGTGTCGAGATTCTTCAGATCGATTGGGAAACATCAATTTTGGAGAAAATCGGCTGGACGCTACCATTGACAACCAGCAGACGGCCGCGTTTTGCAGTCAATCGAGTATTTGGTATCAAAGACCCACAAAACATGGGTTCTGGCTACATCACATGTTAGAGGAAGTAATTTGCTATAAATAGGAACTTGATTTATCCACTTTTGCGTTATCAGGGCCCGTCAATAAGAGTTTTTCTACCACAAAGTTGGCCGTTTACCGGCGTACGATTACATAACTTCCTTTTCTTACAAAGTAAGTGCGAGAAAGTAAAAAGATAAAAAGTTTTTCATTAATATTAACTCATCATCAATGCCCAGGTGGGTAATTTCATGCTACCTTCTGTATTTGGGGAAGACTCGTGGGGTGTTCCCACTCCTTCCTATTGTTTTAGTACTTTCGTTTCTTTGTGGTCCGCGGTGTTGATTTAGTCCAGGGAATTCTTGCATTATTTCAGTATGTGCCACGTGCATAAATTGCCCTCATTGCACTTTTTAAAATTTATTTCTAATGGCTTGGGCTGTGACGTCTCATTTTTTTCGAATTTCAAATTTCGTTATTCCTTGCAGACGTCTCAAAAAATTTGATTTGTGCTGATTCAATTTGTTATGTAGGTACTTTATTGTTTTGTTCATAGTTCTGTCTCACTCACTGGCAGTTATTTTGTGTATGTTGAATTTATTTACGACTTTCTTTTGTTTAATTGTATTTTCAAAATAATTAAAGTAATTCAAAATAATATTTTATTTGTTCTTGGTTAATCCTTCCTTTACTATTTATGCCCATAATGCATTTCCTTGGAGTGCCATTATTTTTATTATTATTATTATTTTTTGTCAAAATGCAGTCAAAAGTGTATGTTAGGTATGGGGAAGAATTTGCATGTGCATGTTTTCGTGAACTTCAGTTCCCCTTTCCCTTCCTTTGATGGGAAACCAACTCCCCTTTCCCATCCTTTGATGGTCTGTTACACTGGGGCGAAATAATGGTAGCTGCAAATGTTTGTTGTTTCCAGAAGTATTAGGTTTTCGAACTTTCCACGATGTATTTCAAATCTTTAAATAACGAATAGAAAAGATTTGCTGTTCTTTATCTTTCAAATCCATCTTCGACGATGTAATCTCACCTCAAAACAATTTACTGGGAAAACAAAACTGTCGTTGAATTACACTCACATAACCACCTGTATGTACTAAGAAAAATTATTTCGATCAAATTCTGTTTTTTATGATTCTTAATTTTCAATAAATTTTTGAAAATATTGATTTGGCCTTCAAGGTCTCTTAATATTTAGTTTTCCTTCGATAGGACATGAACTAAAAGAATTTTGTGTGTGATTAGTTTTTTAGATGTTTCTTAATATTTCAATTATTTCTAGTTCGTAAGAGTTCGTTTCTGCATTTGTGTAAATTTACCTATGGTTATTGAATGCCACGGCGGTATTACCAACGACTGCCTCAGCTGGAAGTAAGTTTAACCTTTATCAGATAGCTAAGATTTACCAGAAAAAGTCGAAATCTGAAGAAAACAGAGAATCCAAGTTAAAGTAGAATGCTGTAAACAGAAATGTTGGACGATTACAGCTTAATTTGGTTAATGAGTCTGTACCATTTAAATATTTCACTCGTTCATGTCTCTGTGAGATATTTTTAAAGAATACCTATATTTTTTGTTTAACTTTTCATACGAAAACCTTTTGCATTCTTGTGCATTTTTGCTATGAATAACATTCCTAGTCAGGACATCCTGTGGAAAAATTAATATAAACCAAGTCGACAATTGGTAACACCCACGCTGTATTGCCGCGTAGGGTTGAGGACATACGGTCGCATCAAGAGTTTGGTATGACCCATGTCGCAGGTGCCAGCGGGTTCGCTTGCTATAAAACAGCACACACACACACATATATATAATATATATATATATATATATATAAATATTTATATATATATATATGATAATAGTGTGTGTGTGTGTGTGGTGTGTGATTTTCTGAAAACGGCTCCCAAGTTTTCCTTCAAACTTTTCGAACTGATAGTGCTAATTGCACACTTTAATATGACGTAAAGTCCATTAGGTTTTTTTTTTTTGTTTCAAAAATTAAATAAATGTAATTTTTTTGAACGATCTTTCGACTACGTTATTATACACAGTTACAGCAATTTGTAAACATTATTTATCTGTAAATGTGCTTCAAATGATCTTTAATAATAATAATATTTATTGAGTCACATATACAATTACAATCGTGTATGACGAGTCAATATCTCATCTTTAATCAAGTTTTTCGAAAACTCAGACATTTTATGTGAAAAAGAGTTTCACATTTTGAATTTACAGTAGCGCTTAAACACCATTTTCTTAAAAACAGCTCCAATTTTTTCAAAGGAAATAGCCATTTAGGACGATGTTCAACTGTTCTTTAATATTCTTAAAATATTTCCGTTCTACTATTAGGAAACCGACACATTTACTTTGGGCGGCGATAGATGGCAGTTGCAAGAGTATGTGGCAAGTCCGAAGGGGTAGCCGAGACCAAATGAAATAGAAAACTAATACGGGATAGTCTGTGCCATTCTGAAGGACCACTAGCTACTTTCGCGATACGGTTTAGTGTAGAGAAAGTATTTATGGAAAAATAAAAACGGCGAATTTTCAATGAAAAAAACTCATTGAGGGGCCTTGGTTACAAAATAGTAGGGGTCCTTCTGTACAGTAAATTACTTCCTCTGGCACTTTATGTAGTCGGAATCCGTGTTTTATGGGTCCTTGATACCAAAAAATCGATTGACGTCAAAACGACAGTCCGCCCGTCTGCCTGTCTGTGAACAATACCTGCTAAACCGCAAGGGGGATTTTTACTAATCGATGTGGCTGATGCCACAGTCCTTTGAAATTGAAACTGATATTTTAATTTTGGGGAGGTTCTTTACAAGAATCCCTTAAGATGTTTCCAAATTTTTGAAACAAAATTGCACTAAATTTATTGATTACATTTTGACCTTGGGTAGCTTAAGGACGCTTAAGAGAATGACGCAGGTTTAATTTTCCTTGATATACATGATTTTTTGAAAATGCAAAACAAAAAAATAAAAAAAAATTAAAATTTGTTGACGTCTACCTACAAATACAATTATAAAGATTTTTAAAAATAAAATGTGTTCATCAAAAACATCTTTCTATAAGATCATGTTCAATATTTCAAAAATATGAGTATTTTGGGGTATGTTTGTGTAAGACAGGCAATTTGTAAAATTTAAACAAATTTTACTTCACCATATACGTACATATATACTGAGTAATATAGGGAAAGTTATGTAATGCTTCAGAAAATCGATTTTGAGATTTCAACGGAAATACAAGTTTCGGGACCCCCTCTCACCAAAAAAGTTTGATTGTTTTTCTCGAAACGTCCGTTTATCTGACCGTTCATCTGTTCCCTGGTGTATGTGAACAACACTAGCGCCTAGATTTTTTTTCCAAATTGAAGAAATCTCTGCCCATTTGGCCTAAGTCGAAACTCTGCGATTTTGAAAATAATTCTTTAATTTATTTGGGATACTTTACATGATGTCTCTGAATATTTTCAAAATTTTCTCAAAAATGCCTCCATATTTTTTCTTTACATTTCTTCTAAGAATATAGTAAAATAAAATTATAAAGGTGGCATAGGTCCGATTTTCACAGTTAACTCTAAATTTTCGAAGTTTCAAAAGTTTGAACAACAACAAAATTAAAGATAGAGAGTTTTCATTCAAATGAAATTTGTTGTTCACAATTTGTGCTTTCATTAAGATCTTGAACATTTTTTTGAAAATTTTAGTAGTTTGCGTTTAGCAGTAATATTGCATGCAATATTCGCAATAGTTTCTATTTCGCGCCAGTGAAGATGTGTTTAGAATGTTTTAACCAGAGGTCGTCGCGAACTTTATTGTTCTGTGCTTTTACCTTCAACTGTTTCTGTGCGAGGGAGAGGGAATGTAGGCCATCGATCAACAAAAGCTGCTGGGTAATTTCCTACATGTTCTGGTCGACTTCAATATCCCCAGTGTTAACATTGCCCACTCACCTCTGGGAAATTCATCGTCATTCATATATTCGAAAAGCCCGTACATCCGTCGGTTATCCCAACGACATCAAGCCCATGATTACCCATTATACAAATGCCGTTATTAAAGTGGCTTCCACACTCATCAGGAAGTCGGCGAGCCGAGCACGACTTGCTTCTTCCAAATTCACATTTAAACGTTCAGGGAGCGTAAAGGTTCAGCAGATTACCCAGATTCCGGCGATACGTCGAGTGTCGAGGTGGATGCAGTGAGGAGATCGGTTGGGAGCCCCGGGCCTTTCGGGCTTCGGGATGGGCTGCCACCAAATGGACACGACTTCGTCGTGGTAGTGCCCGATACCCATGGACAATTTATTAGGGATTCGCCATACCAATGGCTACCAATTATTCCGCCCCCTTCAGCGGTAGCTTATGATATACAAACCGCGAGTGGTCTCATTCGTTTGTATGACGCCCAAATTCATTCATTAGGATAGGTCAGCGTCCAGTCTACGCTCCGCCCTTTGAACGCCAGCCCTAATGACGATATTCGTATCTACACATGTGCTTATCGCATGATACGCATTGATACTTCTAACATAAGGCTGGATAACCAACTCTAGACCGAAGATGAGATATTTAATTCATTGTTTAAATGGTTTTAAATTGCCTTTAAATGTCCCCATCCATGAAGCAATTCTTCATCCATTCATAAACTCGGAGCATCTATACACTATTCTCCTCTACCATCCTCTATAAACTATCCCCCTGGTATCTCTTTCTACTCTTCCACAAAAGCTTCTCTTAGAACTGCCCATTCTTGTGAAGCTCTCTTGATGTCCTGTCCCCTCTTGGAAACCTCTGCTGCTTAATAGACCTCAAATTGTCCAACCTCCACTTCTGATGCTCTTTCAAAATCAATGAACTACAGCTACACCTTCATCTACTCTGATTGTTCCTTCTGAAATGTTAAAGTAGAATGTGCTTTTCAGTCAGCCATTGTTTTTTGACTCAGCTCTTTGAGCAGCATATGTACTGCAGAAAAATACGTGCAGGTGAGAGATACTAAAATACATTCACTCAGTATCATTACAGAATGTTGTGTTATGCAGCAATTCCAGTTCTCTTGAATTCATTTCTTCTTGTCACCCACTGGCAATGAATATACAACACCAACTTCATCATATAATATTGCACTATTATATAATTTTAAGTCGGGTGGGGTCTCTTGCTTCATGGGAATAATAGTGGGAGAACTCGTATAATAAATTCACAAGGATTAAGAACTCCATATAACCTTGGCTTCCTCATCTTGAGGTACTACGCACAAGGAGATGTTTCTTACATGTCTTCAGAGCGTTCATTGCCACTTCTTGTAAGAATATCTTCATCACAGAGACACACCCCATAATGTGACAGATGCAGAACTCAAGGAACATGGAGCACAACCTCAGGCACTACGATAAGGTGGCTGCAGAAGGTTCACCTTGTCACCTTCATAGAAGAGATGCCTAGAAATGAATCCTCTGACTGTAAATGTTTTATCTTCCTACAGGAAAATGGAATAAGTAATGTAATTAAGACACGACAATACACACATCCAGAACTTCCTATTTGCCACCTCTCTTTCTTTACAAGTTGTCTCCCAGATTAGTTGCATAAATGAAGCAAAGATCAAGTTTATATTTTGCCTTACAGCAAAGCTAACTGAAGTGTGGCAAGTGTATTTTTTCCCCTCTCTGGTCTCATTATTCCCCTTTTTTTGTTCAAAAGTTTGCAAGAGTTCTTTCAAAGAAGGTAGGTAAGTAGGTAATACTCATAGATCTTAATTTGATCATCATAATTAGTTAAAGTCTTGTTGACTATGAATTACTTATTTTTTCATATGCTGCGTTGGTAGGCCTTCAGTTCAACAATGACCACATCCTATCCACATTTAAACCTGATTTCTCACTTCTGTCATCATAAGGTCTTCATCTCACTACATTCTAAAAGAAATAAGACTGTCTGTGATCATCCCTCCATTAGTGTATCATAGATTAGATTAGATTAGGTTATTTCGGTCTTTTATGTTGCCATGGCAGTGCTTAATCCAAAAGGTGACATTTAAAATAGAACATCAATACTGTAAAATTTCAGTTGAAATAAAATTATTAATATCCTTAATATCCGAGGCTCGTCGCAAAAGACTACATTATTTACATTTATAATTCTCTACCAGCGTGCGAGATAAATAAGACACATCCTTCTAGATATACCCATACGTCTCCCTACATAATATCACATAGCTCCGATCCGATCTTACTTAATAGGTTACAGATTTTTATTTGTTTCTACAGAAGAAAAGTTAAAATGCTATAGATATATTGAACTACATGATGCTGCTTTTCATTTTTTGTAAAACTTGTATGAATTCAGGGATCAACATATTAAAAGATGATTTTTTTAAATGCGATAAAATGCACAATTTATTTTACATGTCTCCAATGAAAATTATTAACTGGCATTATATTTTTTTATCCAATTGCTATTACATTGTAAAAACTACAGCATTCAGTCTAAGGCATTGAGTTTTTTGAATGTACTTCCTTATAAGCGTATGTGATTAGCCAAGTAGACACAATTATTCACTGATGTTCAGTGGGCACTGCCCTGACAAAGCAGACTAATCTCTGGACAGTAACAGTAACTGATAGCTGTTTTGTTGTAAACACTGACTAACATGATTAGTATGGTAGATGGTACATGGTAGAAATGTGTATTACACACAAAATTTTTAAAAAATTATGGTAGTTTAAAAAGGGATTAAGAATTAGGGGGAAAGTAAAATGAATGGTGAAGAACATATAGAACAATAATTATCAAGACAGAACACATTTGTAATATTGTTTTAGTATTTAACAATTATACATTTTCACTCACACATTTACATAGTATGTGTACTTTTACAACACAACACAAGATTTTCATTCTCTATTTACAATGCCTTTTTATCATAAGGAAGTTTATCACAGTATATTTGTTTTTATCATTCATAAGTTTCTGCTACAATGGTATACAATAAATTGTAAATATTACTTTCACAGCACATTTCAATATCTTAAGTTACTGAACATTGAAGCTATACATCAAGTTTTACTCAATGAAAGAGTAAAAACCAAGCTAATGCAATTGATATATCCACAAAGCTTGATAGTATTTTAAGGAACACATCTGCTTAAGTATTTGCAGCATTGGTGTATGTTCAAAGTCAGAAAAGAGTTCTTAAAAATATAATTGCACTGTAGGTTGATTGTTTAATCACTGCATAATTCTGTGCGAGCAATTTCTGCAATGATCTAGCTTCTGTTTTGAAAAAGTGTTTCACTTTTTATTAGACAGCTGTGCAATTTGTGCAGTAATACGCTCAAGAAGCTCACGATCTGTAGGGGCACAGCAACTGCGCACAAAGAGAAGGGCTTGCACATCACGTTGTTCCACTGCCACTTGACATGCTTTCTCGAGGAGTCTGAAAAATAAAATTATCATTCACATGTTAAGTCAATTTTATTTAGACAAGTATGTGAACAAGATTAATTTCTACACTATCCAAATCCCTATTTTTCGAGGTAAATATTTGAGTTATTATTTTTCAGATTTTTCAAAGAAAACAGAACTAGTGGTGCCACAAACTGACACAGATTTTCTGATATTAGTTTTGTATTATCTTGGGTCTGGGCTAGCTATTCTGATTTGCCACATACACTTGCTGGCTGCCTTCTATCAAAGCCCCCCAGACATTTTCAAAATTTCTCAAAAACAGCTCCAAATTTTTTTGGTAGTTAATGATGTAAAATTTATGACACTCGTATCATAATAATAGATTTGAGAAGTAGTTCTGTCGTATGTTTTTATTTTTGCAGAAAGCTTTTTGGTCGCATTGCGGTAATCTTCAGTGCTACAAGAAATAATTTCAAAATTACAAATAAAATATAATTACATTACAAAATACTAAACATTAGAATTTAATCAAACAGGAAGATTGGAATATTAAATGTGAATGTGGGAAGACAATTTTGAATCAAGATTACATGAAATAACAAATGTACTATTCTCAAGTGAAGTGAAATTAAATAGTCTAGATAAATAAATAAGAAAATGAAAAAAATGAAGATGAGCAATCATTAAGGAATATTATTATGAATAAAATTAGAATATAAGCAAATTAGAAAAACTGGAATATAAAATGTGAAAATGGAAACATCATTTTGAGAGTAATATACTTGAGAATAATACATTGTTATTTCATGTAATCTTGTTTCAAAATGATTTCATTCTTGAAGCCATGATGTTAAAGATAGGAGCATAATGCATCAGAATTTTGAAGGAATAACGTAAAGTATTTTAAGATGTCCTGGGGAACATGAGTGCTATAGTCAAAGAATATGAAATATAGCCAAACACATTAATGTTCACAGAAAATTGGAGTTTTGTGTACTGAAACATCTTCTGTAATACCCCATGCTGAGTCAATAAAATATAAATTTAATAAGCCTGTACGATCATGAGAATAGTTATAAAAATAGCAAATGTCACATATTAAAGAATTGAGATATTCAATGTTTTTTAATTAATCAATTTGTGTAGAAGGTTTAGTGAAAGCTCTTGTCTTACTTTACCCCACGGTTTTCAATACAACATTCTAGCTCCTTACTAAGCCAAGTCTCTGATAATACAGAAGAGACTCATGAATCGAAATTTCCAAATGCCCGGGAACGGGTCGAAGAAGATGAGTGAAATAACAGAAGCACTGATCTCAAATCAAACTTAATGGCCAGTATTAGGAAAAGGTCAGGTTTTCTACATCATCAATTTGTTAAATGTTAAAATGCCAAACTTTACAATTAAACATACCCAAAAACATGTCACATTTCATTTTTCAAACTGATGCAACAACAAATATTTCTATTGTCTAATTTAACTAAAGCATCCTTGGTAAAGGGGGAATCTCCCCCTCCCAATATTTTCAATGAATGTCTCGTAGTTTTATTCTAATTTCATTGTTTACCACAGATAATTTCATTATACAGCATACTATGACTATGATATTTAATTATTACACACAATGATTCAGACTGAAATGATAATATGGAGTACACAAAAATGTTTTGCCATCCTTCATTACTTAATAATGCATAGGGGAGGAATTTTATGATGATGCTCCTAAACTGATGGGAAGATTTTTGGGTACCCCTTGCGAGCCCACATTTTCATTTGTGGTGGAGAAGACTTGTTTCCCACCACTAGTGCTCTAGCTGAAATCTCAGCAGATGCCATCTTCATGGCTGCTGTCATGGCTGTTAACCTTTGCTCTGGAATCTCCTAATCTTGAAACTAAATCTGAACTTAATATTGAAACTTAATCTTGCAAAAGAAGGCTACAATGGTAACTACCAAAACAAAAGTTTAAATATTTCAAAATAAAAAATTAAAAAATAATAGTCCAAAATAAAAGCCTAAGTTTTGGAGTTGGTTTAAAAGTTTTCTTAATTAAATAAACAACAGGCTTAATGGTCCAATACACTATAACAATAACTAAATTGGATAATTTGTTGAGAATATATCTGTATTGAAAAAATGAACAACTCCCTAGCCCTTGAAACCTAGTAGCTTTTCTTTTGAAAAAAGCACAAGGGGCCTAGAGCAGCCAATAGAACAGACAACAGTGAGAGGGATGAGGTGGAAGAAATACTACATACACGAAAGGGACCACTAGTTGCAGAGGAAAGAGCATAGGGATAGATGTGACATGAAACAAGGAACAGGATTGGTGTGATAGGTTGATGTAGGACTCCTTACTCCCAAGCGTTCGGGTTAGTTGCACTATTTATAACTTAAGAATGGCTGGATCAATTTTAATTATCCCTAATTTGTTGGATTCATCTTCACCCCAAATAGCGAAATAACTACAAAAAAAAAATCAGAAAATTCACGAAAAAGAGAACAAAGAACAAAACTAAATATTTACATCACACGCAACACACAGCGAGATTTTCGACTTTGTATCATGAAATAACTCCTAAGCGAAGCGTTCTAGGGCATTGAAAACTAAAATTTTGATGTCAAAGGTCTCAAAGAAACGTTTCTCACACCGTAACAGAGGATGAGATCATCTTGAACATTCTATTACAATTTTGCTCGCTTCTTGCTATTACCCCACCTGCTCAGAGAAATGCAGAATCTGCAACTAATTGTACTGAAAGAGAAGAGAGGGTGGGGGGGGGGCATGAGAAAAGGGAAAATATTGATGAAAAAGTAATAAAAAGGCCAAAACAAGGCAAAATGCTAAAAATATGTATCAGATGCTAAAACAGCCACAAAAGGTAAGATGGAAATCTTCCAACACAACTCCAAGAGTACAGTTATGCGATTCCTATTACAAGTCTTCAAATCATATCAATACAACAATTTATGTTGTTTTTGTTATAAGCTGCAGCTCATGCTACCACCATAATGTTTATTGCTAGCACTCTCACTAGAATGGAGCCACTGCGGTGAGACTCTTCGGGTGCAGTTTCATTTAAGTTGGCAATTTTTGTGCACATTTAGAAAGATAATGTCCAATTCAAACTAAAAGTTATGAGTAGCAGAGTTACAACATTTTGATCTGTTAGTCCTCTTATTAATTACAATCAGTAAAGCAGACATAAAAAATAAAAAAATGCAACATACTCCAATGAACATTTTTCTCATTGAAAATTTGTTTCAGTTTAAGTTCAGTAGAAATTTTAATTCACTTACCCAGCTTTAGCATAGTATTTAACTTTCAATTCATCTTGTACCCGTGGCAGGAACTGTTCAGCATATGGAGATTTGTGTTTAACACAGACATCCACAAATGGCTGCAATACAACAATATCTACTTGCTTACTTCATTACTTGAATATCTTACAAAATAAGGTTCATGAATGTTACACTGCTTTTCAAAAGAAAAAAATCATTGATAAAATAATTACTACTAGTAGGACACATGTGAACAATCTGCCCATTGTAAATCTTTGTTTAAAAAGTAAAAATAGCTTCATATTCGAACCCCACATCAAATGGTTAGGCCTAGAACAGTTTGTTAGATCATAATAGTCCTGGTGCCGTGCATTGGTAAACATTCAATTGTAACTAAGAGTTTACTAACAAACACTTAAAACTTACAAAAACTTAGACGTGTGTGATTAATGTTTTAGAATAGTCAATTTAATTTGAGTTTCTTCTATCCATATTATGGATAGGGTAGCCAGGAGAGCTAAATCTCCAAAAAAACATTCAAGAATGTCTATGAAAGTCTTATTTAGAAGAGTATGGCCTAAGAAATATAACTCATGCCTCCTCCAAACACAATAAGCACTTGCTGTTTTCCTTATGTCGCAATCTACACAATTCTAAATTTTCGATCTTAAATCTGTTTGATACAAGCTTGAGAGGAATTCCCTAACTATTTGCAGCATTCTTATGGAGTTCTATTTCTAAGTTCGTTCTAAGTTTTATGAATCATACAAAACCATTATAAAGGCATAGGCATGCACAGCCCAAACCAAAGGGGTGGGGAGATACAATATTTCAAGACCACCATTTCCATTACACTTTTTGACTTACACATGATATAATTTTACTACAACAGTAATAAAGTATAATAGTGAAATTGTATCTCACAGTTACCAAAAACTATTGATTTTATACTGAATAATTTGCAAGTCGCCAGATGGCTTGAAAAGCCTCTTCCACAAAAGTATAACAATTTCCCAAACTGTTGGATAAAAAAGGGAAAGTCAGGTATTGAACATATTTACAGACCTAAAATATTTTATAACACAAGGCTACAAAGCCCCCTTCATAATTTTCAGGGATATCCCCATTGCACATGTGTATGTATGTGTATGAATAGAAGAATTAGAAGTACCAAAAGTTATCAACCTTTTGTTTAGTTTTTAAAATCTTCTGTAAGAACTTCCAGCAACAATAAAAATCAAATGAATCAATCAATACAATAAAATAAAGTACACAAGCTGCATAGATTCCCAGTAAGTAAACTTCAACCAGTAATGAATATAGTGTTGAGTTTTAGAAATTAATGTCTCAGAAATCATTCTAATAAAAAAAAAATTACCAATCATTTCAAATAAAAAAAAAATCAAACAAAAACAAACAAAATACTTAAAGTTTCTACTAAGAGAGAGAGAGAGAATTTTAGAGAATGTGAAGGTAACGACCAAGCCTTACAAATTATATAGTGTTCCTCACAGAAATCTACATACAATACGTGAGAGTTAAAGTGGAAATTCATTATTAAAAAAGACTCTTGCAGAATGTTTCTCATTTTTGCGTGATGTGCTTGGACATGATAGATCACATAATTATAATTATTTCGTTTCTAATAAAGATGTTTTGGATATGCTCCATATTCTACCAATTGCATACGCCGGAGACTTAACACAATTAGACTTGCATAGCAAAGACACTGCACCTTACAAGTTTGAGGTGGTAAATAAGATGCATTTCTGCTTGTCGACATTCATTGTACATGCTTACAAAAGTACTTTAGTTCTTTTATGTTGACTAAATCACTCCACACTTCACTATTAAGATCTGTTAAGTTGGTACTGTAATAGGAAGAGCAAAAATTGGTATTTATATCTCAGATATTCTCTTGAAGATGTAACCTGTTTCCAAAAAATAAGTGTTAAACCTCTCCTTATTTCATGTTTAAAGCACCAAATGTGTTTTTAAAATAAAGATTATGTTTACATAGAGAATCGTTTGGGAGCCTGAAGAAGTTCAGAATATCAACACTAATAAATGGCTTTTTAAGTACTCATTTTTGATTAATGATTTACTTTATATTTTCACATGGGTTTTGTGAATACAATGATTAAGAATTCCATGTCACTTACTTCATAGCCAATTGGTGACTTCTTGGTCTTAGAGAATCGTACCAATTCTTCCCAATCTCCCAGGTGTGCCATACATAGGATTCGTAACCACCAATATCTGTGCACAAGAGAAAGAACATTATATATTTCTTGAGGTAAAAAGAACAAAAAGGTACCATGAAATAAGTAGTGTAATGTCAATTAAATTGAATAGCAGTAATTAGCTCAGATGACATTCAACATTGCAATGAAGAAATATAATGAAAAGCAAATCAGGGTACCGTGCGATAGAAAAACTTTGTTATTAAAATGGTGCAAAACAAGTAAGCACATGCCACTGATCAATCCACGTCAAATTATTTTTTATTGTTTTGTTATTAAACAATAAAACAATAGGCCTACATCCGCCAAATTGCATGTTAACTATACAATTTCATAAAGTTAACACAAATTGAACATACTCTATTGCCTCAAATCTTTATCAAAGTTATATTCACTCACTCAATTTCTTCCTGTTTATAATTATATTAGCTGATCACACTAACTGTAGGATCACTGAACTATAATTACCATACATCTTGCACATTCATTAAATAATATTCTCCTCATATCATATACATAGTTGTAATCTTCAAAAAGATGTAATAAGTTATTATATTTTGTTCTTTCTCTTAGTCAAATGAACATCATGAAAAGAGCATGCTAACTGCAATGACAGCACTTTAACTCAATTTCAATAATAATTTTTAAAAATGAGCAAAAAGGATTTTTGCTTTGACTACATATCTCAAAACTTATACTGCATTCATTCCAATTTTTATTAGCACTCAAAAATTAAACCATTTTCCAGTGGCAGAAAATTTACTGTTTGCCTTTTGATGAAATCAAATAATTTCAAGGATTCAATATCTATTGGCTGATCCTTAGCAAACAAACATCTTGTTTATATATTTTACTAGCTGATTACACAGCCTTGTTCGGATATTTATTTCTCACAATTGTCTATTAAGCAGCCTTGCCTTTTGAACCTCGAGGATTCTCTAAATGGATTTTACTACACAAAACTAGACCTCAAATTTTTGGACGAAATCTATATTTCTCCTCTATATCATGCACACATGAGAAAAATTCAAGATAGAAACACACACATTATTAAAGTATTACTCACCGGCGATCAGGGACCCTGTATTCAGCTCGTAGCTTATCTGCCAGCTTCACTTCTCGCATTAGCAGAAGGGCTCGCACAGTATCGTGCAAAGACAGCCCTGAAAATTCTCGTCCAAACTTGTCTTCGAGGCCTTTCTGGTAGCGTAAAAGCCGCTGCTGCTCCTCACACAGTGTGGCATTGAGGTCAGCACGTGCACGGCGGAAGCTGTCCTGAGCTGCAGCCAATGATGCTTCTCGTGCTGAATTCTAAAAGATAAAAAAACAAGTTCAAATTGTTCAAATTTTTCTCTGTAATATCAATTAAAATAATAAAATGGGACAATATTTATTAAATATTATGCCACACATTTTATCTCTGCTAATATCTGTCTGTTTTTTACGTAGAAAATTCTTTATTATTGATGTGCATGATTCTCCACAAAAGAATAACTTCACAATCTTCATTCTTAGGATAAGACCACAATTAGTGTGAAAATTCTGTAACTTATAAAGTAATTAAAAGTAAATAAAATTTATGTACACTAGAATTAAACCAAAAACTATACCTTTGGGTCCAAACTTTCACGAACAAAAAATGAAGCTTGTGCTAGGAAGTCGTCCTCTTGAACATAGATGTCTCGCAATGTTTCTGGATTGTGGTCCCGGCAGTATTTTAAATACAGTGCTTGAGCAACTGGATAGTTTCTAATACACAACTGAACATATAAGAAGAATTACTACCAGTTTAACTTATTTCATATGTAATATAATTCTACTTATAAGTTATTCAAGAGACCATGGTTAAGAACTAAATCTTATGGGGAAAGGTAAAGTATTTGAGCTCAAAAATTTATTTTACAAAAACAGATGTCATCAGCTGATGCTTAGAAATTGGTTTCATGGATAGCTTTTTAAATGTTTGTTGGATGGATATTTCAAATTTTCAGGAAATAATGTATACCAATATCTATAATATTAACTACAATACATAGTATAGCTACATTAGTTTCCTATTAACAATTTTTCTGTACTGAAACTAGTGATGTAACAACAGCCCATAGTTGATTGCATTATTTCTAACTTTTCCAATTTTCGAAAAAAAGAGAATTTAACAAAAATGAGATCTGCACTATTCTTTCAAACATCAATCCAAAGAAAAAATTTGGAGCAGTTTTTTTGAGTGCCCTGGCACCGAGTCACCAGTCACCTCTACATGCTTTACAGTTGAAGTAAGTACAGTGGTGTAAGAGAATAACATGGATCAGGCAGATGAAATTACCAAGACAATAGGTAGAGGCCTTGCAACATTAGACCACTACTGTATTACTGTAGAAAATACTGTATTACTGAAACATATTTGTATGCTTCATACTATGTTGTTATTGAGAACATTTCACAGGAACATGCTTAAACTTATCAGACATTACTCAAGGTAAAAAACTAAGATTTTTCATTTGTGGGCTTATTTTGCAAATTTAAAAAAATTAAAAGATTGGGAAGTCTTTATCTTGCTAAAACTCCCATTGTGGACAGGTCATCCACCGAAACTTTATACATCAGCATACAAAAAGTAATTACCATGGTCCCAAAGGGTAAAGAAGCTTTAATGCAGTGAGAAGGTTAAAAAAGCACTTTAATGCCAACACGATTAAAGAAATACTTTAGCAAATGAAAAAGTGTAATTTAAGTCACACCGTCATCACTTTTACAATAAAATGTATTTACCAGAGGCACCTTATTTTCAAGTTACTTTCATACCTGGAACTCTCCAAGAGGCATGTTTTCACGAAGCTGTTCTAACACTGTATATACAAGATCTGTATCACCACTTTCAATAGCTTTGACGAGGGCAGGACGATATTCTTCTAAACGTAGTAGTAATGGCACTTGCAAGCTGGCACGTGGCTCATAGTCAATCAACTGAAATTTAAAAACATAAATTGTTAGTCGATTTATTTTAAGTAAGAATTTTGGTATTAATTTCATCAATGTTCATGGATTAAATATACATATTAAAACAAAATCAAAGTTGCAATAATTGGGTAAAGTGCTATTTAATAACAATTTACGATGAATTATGACTGTCTTCCATTCACTCTGACAAACAAAAAAACAAAACAAAACAAAACAAAACAAAACAACAACAAAAAAACAACAGAAGAAATGAAAAAAGTAAATAATAACCTTTTTTAAATCAATGCAAAAAAATGTATTTGTTTAAGTGACTGCTGATGTGAGAAAAAATGAATAAATATGCAAAGAGAAGAAATTTCTTAACCACTGCACAACCATGTATAATATTTTTTCACTATATTCTACAAAGTTTTTAAATTAGATGAAATGTAACATAAAACAATGTTTAAAAAGTGCCCTAAAATCATGTCATAAATATCAACTTTCATTCATTCATTTCATACTCAATGCATTATCCCATCCATATGACTAGCAAATTTAACATCCAAGGTCTGTATTTTTCACACTAAAGTCTATTTTTACATTCACACATGAAATGGATTATTTAGTTCAAACACACCATTTTATCTCAAGGGATATAAAAGTTCCAAATAAAAGGCTTGATGTTTCAATTAAACAAGTGTGTGTGTAGTCTGTCAAATGCAACTGAAGTGTTCCTTGAAAATTGTGAACAGATGAAAACTAAACTTACCTTCACAGCAAGTTGACGTCTGCCTGCATTATTAGCTTTATCAGCAATTTCACTGTAAGATACACCTGGAGCATATCCTAACTTATTAGCAATATCACGAGCTACCTGTTCTCTGTCAAGCTGTGTTTGATTAACCTGAAGCAACAAAAGACATGAAACAGATTTCTTGTTATTCTAACAAAAATCACATCATTCACATAAATATCTACCAAAATCTAGAAAAATTTTTAACAAACAATATTTTGTGATTAATTAAAATATGATAAAAGTCATAATATTCAAAAAATTAACAATAATTGCTTTCTTGGAAAAATCAGTAAATTATTAGAGAAAAAGGTTTTGCAAAATCACAATCTTCAAAAATCAATTATTATTCCTGTTATATTACAATGAAAAATGATAATCTTTGATAAAATATCTATTAATATTATTACAATAGCATCAGTGGAAATTATCATTTTTCAGTTTTTTCTAGAGATCAAAAGATTTAATTCATCTAGTTCCAGTGTTGGAGAATATTACTTTACCTGTTTGGATAATGTTATTACCAAGTAATGATGCCAATATTGCAAGACTTTTTAATTGTTAACAACATTTAATACCCAATTTAACATTAAATAAAAATTTTAGACGTATAGAGTCTAATAAATTACAAGAAGTTTTCTGATAAATTGAAGACCATCTACATTACTCATTTTCAATGTGCACACGTAAATTGAATGAAAACTAAACAGTCTCCAGCTTTGTGAGAAGTGGCCATGGTTTCCTTAGATGGATCCTTTGGATTTCCAAGAACTTGAAAAAATCCATATTTCTTATTTCCTATGTGTAGAGAAATAGAAAGAAAACCATGCAACCTCTGCTCATGAGAGAAATTAAGATAAAAGATTAAGAGAGTGAAGATTCTTTATATACCTCAGATTTCAGGAAAAATTAAAACACCTTTTTAATACTAATTTTCAATGAGCACAGAAACTGAATGAAAACCATGTATCCTCTGGCCTTTTGAGAGGTATCTTTGGTACCACTAAAAACCCAGAAAGTTAGGAAAACAAAAACAATGAAATAGTTTTCAATGAGACCAAAAAATGCAAATATTTGATTGTGTTATTCCAGCTATTCTCATACTGCAAATAAAGACTGAATTCTCATACATAATAATGATAGTGCTTTCAACACAGCCATCAACATGTGACATCAAGGCTCCAGGCTATTACCTTGTAGCAACATTTCTGATATTCTTGGTTTGTAAAGAATTTTTGTACAATACATATATTTGAGAAGATATTGTAGATGATTTTTTGTTAAAATATTAATTTAATGCACTATTATTCAAGAGTATTATATTTGTTATTATTGAATAGTGTACTTGCTACTTTTTGGAAAACTATTTGCATGGTTTTGTTCAGCAGCATTTTTGCTGCTCCAGGGAAACACTAGTTCACAACATTGTGTATTCAAACAAATGAATATCACAATTTTTCATTTGATTCTTAATGATGAAAATGTAAATATAGTATATTCATAACATTTTCAATAGCAAATCTATCAATAATTTCTTCTTTAGTTCACTTCCCTTTGCTTTATTTTTCCTTATCAAGTATCAATAAATATTAATATTGCTCAAGTAATTTAGTTTTAAATTGATGATATGGACAATGTTCACAAATACTACTTCATAAAATTAACATGAAAGAATTATCTCCCCTAAATCAACATATAGGTGTAGAAACAATACAAACCTTGTAGCAAGCCCAGTGTGCAAGAACTCGACTTGAACCCTCAACTTCTGGTAATCTCAAGTGCTTTGCTGCTTGAATTGCTAAATAATAGTGTCTCCGCAACACTAATCGATCCAACAGCACACGGACAGACAGGTGACGAAGTCTGATAGTTAAGATTTATACTGTGAATTTGCTGAACATGTTACCATGTTCAAGGAACACACAAAGATTATTATCTCTTTTTTCACTAAATATTAATGTTTACTATTTCATACACAAGTATATACAGAATATATACATAGTATGGAGGAAGTTATGTAAAATATGGAGGTCGAGATTTTATAAATAGACATTTTTGCAATAGTCTGATACCAAGTGAGTGTTGTTTTTCTCAAAACAAGTCTGTCGACAACACTAGCATTTAAACATTAAATAGGATATTCCCCAAAATGGATATTCACTGATCAATATGGCTCCACTTCACACATAAACTTGAAAACATCTTCAAAGTTTTTGCTTGCATGAAGTAAAGTGCAAACTTTCAAAATGTTCTCTAAAATGGTTCAAAATTGTTTACTAGCAACAAGCAAACAGATATAATAAGAAGCAAACCCATTAACACCTCTGAATTTTCAAAAATTGCATATGTCAGAATTTTGTGGTATGGGGAAGAAAGAACTTTTTACAGGATATCTTATCTCCATTTTATTGTATTATATTATCATGAGTTAATTTAAAAGCTTTTTGCTGAAACTTAAACATTGGCAATGTTCGTGGAGAAACACAATGATGAAGAGAAATAACATTCAGTTTGGAAGTATTACCATATTCTTAATAAATATTAATGCCATTAATACCGTTCTTTCAACAAGAAAGGATACTGAGTGATGGTAAGAGGAATTCCAACACGAGGACTGCGAACTGCATTAAGCACTCGCAACATTCGGCACATATCAACATATGCCGTTGGATCATAGTCTGCCAAGAAGCATTTTCCAAATTGAGCTGCCTGAAAAATAACCATTGACTTTCATTATGAATATTATGCATAAATAAAAAAGGTATGTAAATAGTTTGTACAATTTTAATTGCTATTTAATTGTATACAGTTTAAATAATGAAATAATTAGGAATTAGGCAAAACACTTTCATTTTTTGATAGAGATATTATAAAAAATAACATGAAGTCAGTATATATAAAGGTATTTGTGTTGTGCATAGCAAAGATACTGTATACTTAGCTCATTTGCTTTTTAATTTACTAATCCACCAATGCACAGATCTGGATTCATTTTAAAGTGACTTGTGTACTTTTTCTAAGATTTCAGTGTTTTTGTTTTCAACCAAAGAAAAGATATCCATTATTATATAAAAAATTATATAGACTTCATTAATTGAGGTCAATCAGAAGAGGAATAACACAAATTCTTATTTTATTAAAAACAACTGAGACAGTGTCACAGGATCAACAAATTCAAAAAGCATTACACATTACTTGAAATTATGATGATCATTATTTTAAATAAGATAAAGAGAATAGGAAGTCAGCAAATGAAGATAACCCATGCATGTCTTTTTGAATTGCACCTTCTTATCAGCTTTCTTCCTTAACCTCAATAAGAATTTATTGGATGTCATGGGGATGTTGATAAAAATATTCAAACTCTTAAATGCATTTCTCACCAATAAGGACAAAAAAGAGTAATCAGGTCATATCCAATAATTCAGCTGTAAAAAAACATGGGGAAGATTCATAGAGGTGAAAACAACGTTTTGACGAAATTTGATCTGAATTATAGCACTGTTTTGGGATGTTTTGGGATATGTATGTCATAGTTCAAGGATGTCATAGTTTAAGGACATTAAGGATGTCTCATGTCAGACATGGGAGATAATATTTTTTTTATTTTATTGAAGACAATTTAAAAGAGTAAAATTTGAAGAATTACCCCAATGGCCATTATAAGCAATTGATGACAATTTTTTTTAACACTGCAAACATCTATTTTGGGCAATAAGAATATAGTAGTATAATAACAGTGTGTCAAGATTAGTCCTTTGTATTGTTATATTTAGATTCAGTTTCATTATATAAAGGATGTAAGTCAAATCTGCTTTTGTAAACATTTTCCTCATAAATCTAACTCCGTTTAAATCAAGATTTAAACGTCATTTCATTTTTGTAGTATATTCTTTGTGTACTATGTTAATACTCAAGTTCTCAGTGGGACTGTGTGGACATATTACATCAGTATTTATTGGGAAATTATTAAAATAAAAAAAAATGTTTAATGCCTTATTCCTGCCTATTTTGGATCTTTTAATGTCTCGAATTTCATTTATGTAATTTATGGTAATACTTTGAATTATAGTTATAACATAAACTGATTGAATTTTTAAATAAATAAGCAAATAAAGAAACACATACACAAATGGACAGAACTGAAAGTGCCCAAGCAGTTTGTTGCAGTTCAGTTAAGTGCAGTAACTGAAATATTTGATACAATGTCACTTAATCTCCATACTATTTTCCTTCAATCTAAAATGTTTATCTCAATTTGATACGACTATACTAATTTAAAATACTCATAACTAGGGAGTACATTTAGAACATGAACACATTTTTCATCACTATATCATCATAAATATTTAAGGTTTAGGTTTGGTGGCCTGTACTTTTGTTGACAGTATTTCCTTTGTAACTGCTTGTCTTTTGATTTTTCTACCTTTCCCTTGGATTGTTAGATTCTTTCCTTCTTTTTGGTCCATATTTCAATATGTTTCAGGAATCTGTCAGGTTTCATTCTTTTACCATGTTCTTGCTATTTTTATCAATATTTTTCTTTGGTACATTTTTTGGATTTAAAGCTTTTTCTGTCTTTATTTCTAATTCTTTCCTTCCTTAGCTTTATATATATTTACAAAAACTAAGAAATTTCATTTACCAACTGTTGTTGCTTGTTTCCAAACATTTACAATCAAATAAGGTACATTTTATTTTACCAGTCACTTAATTTCTTTCATTGGTTACATTTTTAAGTGAAGGATGAATATCTCAAAGATAAATTTTGAATGTTACAAGGTATGAAATACTGGGTTGATTCCTGAAATAAATATCCATGGCAACACTAGTCTGAGTGCTTTAGATGGAGAGAAGACATTGTTCCTAGCAATGAACAAACTGATTTACCACTTCCTTTGCTTGTTTCTTGTATAACATTTGGATGGTAGGGCAAAGACTTCCTATTTTCACTAATAATGAGAATTCCAAGAAAGAAAACCATCACTTCAATCACATATCTCATTGCGGTCACATTACGAAGTCATTTGCTAGATTGGTCAGAGCTACATTACCTATCTTATTTGCTTTTTTTGTTTTGGTGCACACAATAACAAAATCGGAACTTTGAACATGTCATTGCTCAGTGTTTCAATTATCAATGGTTCCCAAAACAACAAACAGCACAAGGAAAAAAAGGAAGTGAAAAGATAATAAAATTCAAGGATATTTTTTAGAAAAATCCTGGATAGAAAGGAAGGCCAATCATTGCAGTTGTCCATTGTCAGAAAAATATTAATGGAACCAGAGTTTGAACTTCCAACAACAATAACTCTTTTCAGTAACATTTGTTTCCTAGCGGTCATTTGGCCAGTACACATCCTTATTAAGGTATGTTCAAAGTCATTTTTATTTAAGAAATTAAAATTTCATTTAAGAATTTCAAATTATTTGAGTAGCTTATTATTTTAAAAATTAATGAAATATACAATGATTTTCTCTTTTACATACTTTCTGTATTTACTGTAATATTTTTTTAAAACTAAATACAATTTTGAGCATATTTTGACATGTTTATTACATGAACATCCAATCCCTACTCCTAACTTAGTGCAATAATTTACTTTTTTTACTCCCATTTATATTTCTTTTATTAGAAGGCTGCAGCCCCATGCATAAGAATAGTGGTTACAATTCTGTATACTACAGGTATTTTTGACCAGTCACAGAGAAGTTTATAAACGAAGCATTGGAATGTAATTTATCAGTGGCGATCGGTTTATTACATATTTTGTTTGACTGTGTTTCCAGTGATGAGATAACCTGTGGGGAGATAATGGTAAACAGCACGTACTCCTCTAATTTTCAAAACTCTAAAGAAAATCAGAATGTTTAATCTCCCAATGGGAATTTTATATATTAAAATTATATTTATATTTTAATCAAACATTACATTAAGAAGTAACTATAATGTTTAAATGGCAAACACATCTGTGTCAAAGGCATTTCACAATAAAAGATACATGCATATCACTTCACTTACTCTAAGCAAGCTCTTCTGGGTATCAGTGTTGAATTCATGACCAGCGGCTTCCAGACAATTCTGCACTGCTTCAGCCAGATGACCCCGCACTAAGTGCACATATTCATCTGCTCGATGGCTTTGTTTCTAAACAAAAAAATCCTTTATAAATGCATTTAAAAGTTACAAAACAACAAATTAATTATAAAATTAGGGGAGTTTTAAAACCATTCTCACTAAAAAAGAAACAGGATGGCAGTTTTAACTGTCAAATGAATTACACAAGTCTCTAGATAATCTTTGCCAATGCATCACAGCATGTGGCAGGTCAATAGTTCTAAGTGACCAAACTAAGACACCAAACAAAAAGGTGTACAGCAAGCCCAATCTTAAAACAACGTAGGATCTGTTCATCAATAGAAGATTCTATTGATAACTAAAATGACTAAAAAGACGTTTTCTTCGCTTCACTTCCTCACTAATGTCTATTCGAAAATCGATACTTCCAAGGGACACTTCTAGGACCTCACATGTCACTCTTGCAAAAATCACAAAAATGAAAGAAATCAAACATGATTATTCACTTTACTGAAAATAAAGGAGAAAACATCCCAAAAATAAGATAGAATGTTAGAAACAAACAAGGTAGAAGAATACTACAAGTACTATTGCTGAAGTATAAAAGTTTTAAAGAATGTTAATAAAGGCATCCTAAGTCACAAATAAAAAGCAATCAAAGGAGTTGCTGGTGACACTGGCACATTCAGGGCGATGGGTTGTGAAGAGAGCCACGCCACCCCATCTAAAAAAAGGCCCAAAGTTTTCGTTTACCTTCCTTTATTTGGCAAAATTATTTTAAATATTCATTTATGTTTGAATAATGTAATTACTTAAACAAAGATAATGTACAGTATCATATCTACAGTACATAAATAATATACAATAAAATAACAAATATGTTTATCATTTAACCAAAATCTACAATGCCACCCCCCCTCTCTCTCTGCAAAAAAAGAGCGGCTGGATCTGCCCCTGGTGATGAAAATGTCAAAATAACACACAAGAAAAACAAAGAGTTCAAAAACAAAAAAGGGGAGAGATGAAGAAAGATTAGGAAGATGGTAAGAAGGAAGGAAGGCATCTGACAAAAGAGATGAATGTCAATGAAACTGTAAATGAGGAATAAAATGAATGGGAAATGAGGAAAGTCAATGAAGAAAATGACAAGGAAATGTAGAGTAAGAGGGAGAAAGATGAAACATTCTAGGGGGAAGGAAGATGAAGGTTGGAGGGGGAAAAAAGGAAGAAAAATGAGAAGAGAGAGCAAGAATTGACCAAAATACAACAAACAAAAACTTTTTAGAAATTCATTGCATGTATTGATCGAGTTTAAACATAACTTGTTTTTTAAATTCTTGCTAAGATCCACCTCAAATATACTTAGGAAATTTCACAAACAAAATAATGATTGAGTTATCTCTTAAAACAATATTTTATTCCCCTCAAAATTATTATAATGTTCAAGGAATTACAATTGTCTGAAAATACTTCACAGTAATTGTCCAAAACGCTTAAGATTTACTACTTGAAACAAGTGATGATGCTCGACAAATAATACGATTGTTAATATTTCAAAATTGTACTATTTCATGTTACAATTATTCATAAAATATTGAAAATTATTATCATATTAGTTTCCAAATTATTGGATTTTGCAAAGAAAATCAAAATTAACCAAAAGTCACTTTTTTATAATAACTGTTAGAAATACCATAAACATAAAATTAATAAACTTGAATTACTAATCAAGCTCACAGGAAAATCATGAAAAACATGAATATGATTCAATCTGCTCCATAGTTCTCACATGATATAATGTTACTTACTTCACTGCAGTAAAGAAAATTATTTAAAGATATTTAAAAAATGTTATATTAAAAAACTTACAATAAAATATCTTTAAATTATTCAAAAGTTTAATTGAAGTAATGGATAAATAGTATAACAAAATTAACATTTTTAATCTTCACTTTAGTTAACAATACCTTGTGAGAAAGAACAGCGCCTAACAGCACTCGCACTGTTCTAAGACATTGGCTTTTGAATACTACACAGACCTGGAATTGTCGTGAAGCCTCCAGTAGGTATGCACCAGGGCTCGTGCTGTTGATGCGCAAGATGCTTTGCACTACAGGTGGTACACGTTGCAAGAGCTCGTGAGTCTGTGCACCAACCACTCGCACACCATCAAGTTCAGGTACCAAGTGAACTGGGGAATCATAGGAGTAAGAGATGCTGTCTACTGGAGATCGCCGCCCAACCAGTAGCAAAACTGTCCCCCAAAGGCCTAGAACTGCTTCTGAGCCACACCTGCAATCAAAATTCTCAGTTGTGAAGAATAAAGCTACAGCTCTACAAAAGCACAACAGACAAACCAACTATTCACGAGCTCTAAATGTTTAATAACAATGATAATAATTAGAGCCATGATAAAATTCCAAATTTTATATTTACAATAAAAATCAATAATCACGAAAAACATCATTTCCAACTTTACTTTATTTTCCCATCCTTTAATACATTACAAAGAGATTTAGTGGTGCTACAGAATGGCATAGACTTTCTTGAATTAGTTTTCTATTTCCTTAGGTCTCAGCCAGCTATAAGAACTTGTCACACACTCTTGCCAGTTGTCATTTATCGTTGCTAAAAGTACATTTTTTTAAAAAGTTATTTTATTTGTCAGTTTCATTATAGTAGAATGGAGATATTATTTTAAAGAACAATAAAACATCGTCCTATTTGGCCATTTTCTTTGAAAAAATTGGAGCCATTTTTAAGAAAATGGTGCTTAAGTGCTATTGTAATTTCAAAATTTGGAGATCAACACAGTAAAGTTTCGAGTTTTCGAAAAACTTTATTTAAAGTCATTTAAAGCACATTAACTCGAGTGCATTCAAATGGGATGGGAAACATTTTGGAGAAAATTGTCAGAATGATTCAAGCGTTATCGACCGCGGGCAGAAATACATTTTGCTGTGAATCGATTTTTTGGGTAAAGGACCCACAAAACATGGATTGAAATTACACATGTTTGAGGAAGTAATATACTACATCTAGGACCAATATTTATGCATTTTTTCGTTACCAGGACCCATCAAATCTGTCGAAAAATCGCCGATTTCCCCCGCAAGATTATAATACTTTCTCTTCTTACGAAGCAAGGCGAGAAAGTAAAATCTTTATGCTCTGCACCACTGCTGTTTTTCCTTGAGACCACTGTCCGCAACTACCAGTTAACACCATTTCAAATTCAAACTTGAGCATTATATTGTACTACTTACCAGACCAACTGACGTGGTTTGCCAGGCATCTTCGTATCAAAATCTGCGTACTTTCGACGCAAGTCAGCAGAGCCCATCCATAAATGTCCATTATCTGTCAATAGAGCAGTATGGCGCCCATCAAGAGAGACGGCTATTTCTATCACAGAGCTGAGCCCAAGATCCGGAACTGCCTGAAAAGAAATTAAGACAAAACTTTATTTATACTAGTTTTGAGAAGGAAAATAAAGCCAGATTTGAAAATCGACAGTGTTTGCGCACCCAGCAAAGCAGAAAAAAAAAATTTCATAAGACGCAAGGCAGAACTGTTGATTTGTAACCGACAGAGCGCCCGACCGTTGCGCCGATAAAACCACGCCGCCGGAAGCCGCCCTCGGCGTTCCCAGAAACACACGTGCGAGCCTCGCCCCCCTCCGCCCGTTAGAAGTTTGCAACGGACAAAAACCCTCCAGAACGTTCCATCGCCAAATTCAAATGGCTAATTGTATTGCAAGATCGTCATGTGACCTATCGTGAGATTGAGACAACCTTAGGCATTAGTGGGACCAGCATACATTTAATATTGCCTGAACATTTGACTGTCAAAAAAATTTGTTCGCGTTCCCTTCTAATTCACGCACCCTTTCTACCCATTTTTAGAAGGACGCCTTTGTGATCGTTATTTCCAGGAACTACTCCCGTAAAAACTCGTAAAAACTCTTTCCATAGCGATCGATCTAATAAGGAAAACATACAAACATCCAGTAAGGCATTATCGTGGGTCAGTTCGGCCACTTCTACAGTCAAACCATTGCCACAAACCAACTCGTTTTTGAGGGTTGGGCGGCACCTTTAGCTTCCGCCCCCCCCCCACTTTGATTGCATGCGGCAAATGAAGGTCTCCTCAGATAATTTTGTTAATTATAATACATAAACTCTCGGGCAATGCGGGGTACTTCAACTCGTTTTACAAACGTAGTAAAGTTCTCAGAAACAAAATCACAGATTCTAACTGGATAATTAAGTTCTATTTCCATTTACGAGAATTACGTCAAATTACAAAAGAGAAACAAAATTGTAACTTATTATTAGATTTTTACTGTTTCCTGTTGTTGTACTAACGTAGTATAGAGGAAATATTGTTTTGCTGAGGCGAAAAGTTGTAACATTTACTTTCTCGCGATCACTACCGCGGTAGAGAGTTATGAAATGCTGAGTTTGCGAACATTTTCGTTAAAAACTCTTATTTGTCGAAAATTGCAAAAATTCAAACTTTTTTCGGAGTCTTCTTACAACTAAAAAATTCAAGATAGAGATTTTTTCCCTTAATAAATATGTTCCTCAAAGACAGGTTTTGAAATAAGGTCATGTGCAATTTTTCGAAAATTTTAGTATTTTTCACATATTTTTGCGTGAAATATAGGCAATTTTTACTTTCCCGTATACATACTTATATACGAAGAAATAAACGTACGAAAAGTTATGTAATTCTGTGGAAAATCTATTCTGAGATTTCAACGTAATACACGTTTTGGGGTCCCGTGATACCGAAAAAGTTTTTATTTTTAAAACGTCCGTCCGTACGTAAACACCACTAGCGCCTAAATCATGCGTGCGATGTTTTCCAAAATGGATATTTCCCAGTCAATCTGGCTCCCCTCAAAGCGCCGCGGTTTTGAAAATATTTCTTTAAAATTTGGGAGTTCTTTACATAAAACATTTTCAAAAACGGTTCCAATTTTTTTCTTTAAATTTCTTTTAAGTATATACAGTAAAATACAATTGTAAAGGTAGCATAGGTCCGATTTTCACGCTTAACTCTGAATTTTCGAAAATTGCATAAGTTTCATTTTTTCCGCGTCTGTGGGTCCTATATCCGTTTTGGAAAAAATCCATTTCCATTTTAAACATATATTTTGCAAAAAAAATCGTACGTATGGTGTTCACCAACGAACGGACGTTAAAAAACCACACCTTTTCGGTATCAAGGGACCCCAAAACACGTTTTTCTGTTTAAATCTCGAAATCGATTTTTCGCAGCATTACATAATTTTCTCTATACTACGTATATTACCCCGTATATACGTACGAATACGGGAAAGTAAGAATGGAACTTTGAGAGAAAGTGCAATAATACATATAGTGAATATATTGAAAATCCCTCATGTGGATAGTGATTTATTAGCAGCACACTGTCGCGGGCAACTCGCCTGCCCTAGCGCATTTCCACAAATCTATACATTGAAGACCGTGAAAAAACATATCTTGCGTACTTGGTATTTATTTAGTCAAAAAACAGTGCAAACTGTGGGGGGACGTATGGTGGAGAAGATCATCTGCGCACGTTTTCTTGTGTTCCAGAATCCCTTCCCAACATTTTAATTATAAATAGCAGAAAGATGAATAAAAGTTTTAAATCAATAATAAAAATAATTAAAAAGGCGCGAGTTTAGAAACATCTGAAAAAACTAGACTTTTATTCCCGAATTACAGAAAACGTATTTGCAACGGTAAACGAACTGCAGATTTGATTTCTCTGCATAGCTAACAAAATAATAACTCACCCCCCCATCTCTACTCCTACCACTACAAGCAAACAGAGCCCCGCAAAAGGTGTGTATAGTGAAGCTACATTTATGGCTAGAAGCAAAACAAGAAGTCATCTCAGCATTTGTTCAATGGATCAACTGAGCCAAAACTTGATTGAGATGGGGGTCACTGACCCAGGTGCTGAAATTCATTACTTGTTACAGGCATATTGAGACTTTTTTTAAAAAAAAAAAAAACCTATTCAATACAAATGGAAATTAATTCATTATATATCGTAGTTGACTCTCGGCCAGCTACCAGATCTCCTGTAAACGGTGCATAACGCACGAGTGCAGTGGCGAGCTCGGACCTGCAGGTCGGGGGGTTCGAGTCCCGTGTAGGCATCACTGCACATGCCTTTCGATGAGGAGGCGTGTTTGGGGCTTGTCCAAAGTACCATATATCATCTAACAACAGAACCTTTCCTAGCCGTCCCTTCTCCCATCGGGAGGGGGAGTAGTGAGGCCACTGGCCACGACATGCGCTACCTTTCCTCTCTAGCTCTAATCAGATGCAAACGTTGCTACGGGACCGTAGGCCACAGGCGGCTCTGTGTGTATGGACTCTATGAGTCTATGCACGTGAAAGGTGTGCGGGAGTGGGAGTCTGATGTGAGTGCATCAGGGCATCAAAGAGTAGAAAGAACTAGAAGCAGGGGAAGTCAATAGTATATCCTAATTGATGATATTAAGCTCAATGATGGAGATGCACATTGTGTTACTACTTACAACAAAGCTGATGTCGTGCAACAGCAATGCTCAAAGAAAGAGGTCGTCTACTGTTAAATATTTGCTACTCACATTTTCTGTTACGGATCAGCAACTTTTTTTGACATTCTTGGTACGTAACAGAATTATTGAATTTGTGAATACTTTTGGATTAAAAATACTTAATTTATAGCAGTAATATATGAGAGTACAAAACTGCAGTAAATTAAATATTGTTCTTAAGCATCATACAGGCTACTTTTGGAAAAATCATATTCCACAATGCACAAAGTCAAAACGACACATGTCCACCATCTTTCATAAATAACAATGATAGTAAACACCGAACTGTTAGAAATGAAAAATTTACTTACCACAGGCTCAGCACGGGTCTCCTGTGATGACAATGAATATAAATCACGATTACGTGATACTAATACCCGTGCACCCCTCTCTTCTGGCACTACAGCCCAAGTTGTCAATGATCCTGCATTTGCTCCAGTCATTTCAGGTATTGCAGGTAAAGTACGCAACTTGGGATCAGCCACACTTAAAACAAGAAAGAATCGACCTGATGCTGAAAGCACAGCCACCCCAGTACCTCCTGCAGTTGCAAAAACCCGAGCATCCACAATGTGGCCATCCTTTGCATCCTAAAGCCAAAAACAAAACAATACAATACAATAGTATGAAGTACTACATATGATTGAATAAAATGCAGTGTGTAACTGATATCAGAAACACTTAAATATCACAGCCTTTACACAGTTGTAGATTCAAGGAGGGCAGGGGGGGGGCATGCTCCCTCCCCAGAAAGCCTAGTTTTTTATTTGTTTTTGTTCTTTTATTTGGAAAAATTGATTTAAATATTCATGTTAGAATGATGTAATTATTTAAAACTTTAAATTATTTAAAATTTATATACACACACACACTACAAAAATACACAATATAATAACAAATGTTTATTATTTAACAACCAATTATGATGACCCCCCCCCAAATAATCGGCTGGATCCATCCATCCCTGTATACTATTTAAGCATCTGCATTTGTGTTCCTCATGCCAACACAATTTTTTAAAAATATAAATGTTGGCCATTTCAATCTCAAAAAATATTCTTTGGAAATTAACAATAATATCTGGAAATATTTTGTTTGACTCAAAGATACACAAGAGATACGTAAAAACATGATTGAATTATTTTAGAACTGCAGAAAGACGAAAAAGTAATAAGTTTTCTGACCTGGAGATAGGGTACTAATAAAACTCTTGAAATGTTTATAATTTAAAGGACTATCATTAGTTCTTACTGAAAAGTAACCATTCTGCTCGATTAAGGGAGATAAAAAAAAACTTTTTCCCAATTAGTAGAGTAGATTATCAAGTCAAAGTAGTAGATGTAATAATGAAAGAATTTTGCAAATATATTTCCCATTTATAACCCTAACTTACATTTTGGGAATTCTATTAATCTGCTGGTTATGAGTGGAGTTAGGCATACACTTGTTCATAAATTACGAGGGATAACATTGTAGGATTCCAACTGTGGAATTCACTTGCTGTTTCACCATGTTAGTGCGCTATTTTGTGTACTTTTTTCTGGTTTTACTTTTCAGTTTCATGCATATATTGAGGTTTGAAGATGCTGAGGTTTAATTGAATGCACCTATTAGCGACTGTCTCAACGGAACAGACTGATGTTGGCTGGGTAGTGAATTGCAATCTTGTTCCCATGAAAATGCAGTGCCCTTTCTGTATGTCAAGTCTCACTGATTGAACTGCAAATTGTTCTTTTGAAATATTTGTATCAAAGAAACATACCAAGGGAAATCAAAATACGTATACAAGAAAGTAAAAGTAGTAATTCAAATTCGAGAAATAACACAATATTTTCATGTCATAAAACCAATTCAGGAAATCATGGAGGGAGAAAGTTCAGAGCAGCTACCAAGATGAACACTATTTTTTATTGCATGCGTTGCTGTGCGTAAAGTTTTAGTACTGTTGTTCTGTTTTCAACCTTATTTGGTTGGTCATTCACATGACAGCGAACCACTCCCTTCACTTTGTGGATCCTGTAATGGAGGTCCATACAAACATTAAATTGTGTATTGAATTGAATTGAATTGAATTAATGCCTTATTTTTCATGGCAAGACTCAGGCCTGCTCTTCCATCTGACCACGCAAATATCGCTACGCTCCTTTCACCAACTAGGAGAAAGGAGGTATTTCTTGGGCGAGAAACAGGCTATTTGAATTTAGCTCAGATGCATCATTTAGGCTTGAGAATCTTTTACATGCAAGTAAATCTACTAACATGGGACAGCCTGCTTTAATTCCCCTCCGAAGGAAGGCATACGAAGGATTTTTTCGCCCTTAAAAATCCACGGCTTTGATCGGGTTTGAACCCGCCAACCTGGGTACTACACTCCGGTACGCTAAACGTTGCACCATCGCTGCGCGCTTACACCATCAATGTGCGCTTACACCATCACTGTGTACTACTTCTGTAAAAAATATTCGTAAATCTATCTTATCATAACCATGTTTACTCATGCATTTCCATCCCTTCGATCCTTGTCTCCCTTTCACTTCTTCTTAGGTCAGTAATGCTGGGTGGAGGAGGTGTCTTGGAACAAGTGAATATTATACTCCGCACATAACCAGAAGCCACTAGAATCTCAAAAATGTTTTAGTGCTAACAAGTAATACAGTTGAAATCAGATTACAATGAAAAACGTGTCTTCAAGCCATCTTCACTTCAAAATAAATCAAAAATTTTGCATTAAACAAATTGATTTGATTTATAAAACTAATCTATGTATGGTATATGAAGAGAAACACAGAAGGTGGGAGAAAAAGGAGGGGGATACAGACATAGAGAACTAAAACAAGGCAGATACAGAGAAGACTGAGGGAAGGGAATCACACCAAAAATTACTGCGAAGACATGTGAATACAATAAATTTATAACAAACATTCTATATCCAAATCATTATAAACCTTGAAATTTTGATTCATTACCATTAATGAACATACCTTGCCCATACTGAATGTATGTTGATAGGTGCCAAAGATGTCATAGCGAAGTACAGAACCATCATCCTGAATGCAAAGCAACTCTTCTGAAGCTGACCACCCAAGGGCCACCAAAGTAGTGCCGCTCCAAACAATGGATGCAAGGTGTTGCCCAGCGGCTGAGTAAAGGGATATGACAGGTTTCCCGGATCCTTGCACCTGCGACCAAGATATGTACATCTTGTGGTGAACATTTCATTCCCATTACCTCAATTATAAAAAAATGAAAAATACATTTTCAAAACCAACAGTTTAAAAAAACCAACCAAATTTTTAAAAAAATATTATTAAGAACAAAGATTTTTCATTTGACAATTTCTCAAATGGCACTCCCTATCTTTCAGCCACACACATGCACCAAAAAAGGAAAGGCATTAAACCTTATTTATAGAATGTATTTACGAGATTAAATAATTAATAATAGAAAATTAAATAATTAATAATAGATAATTAAATAATTATTAGTTTTGCTTTGAACAAGAAGTAAAAGAACTAAGTAATTCTCACCTGCACAAACTTTTTACGATCACGTACAACAGCCAATGGACCACCATATGGTGCTGATGCTACTGCAACATTTTCAAGACGCAGCTCATGCTGCCACCCCATGGAGTACAAATCAAACTTCCTGAAAGAGAGACCATATCTATTCTTGAAACTCAACCAAAATATCCACAGAAACACAAAAACTAAGTATTCTTGCAAACAATTTCCATGTATTTGCTAATCAGCGAATTTATGGCACCATACACAATGATTTACAAATTAACAAGTAACTGTAACAAATACTTTTCACTCAAAATTAACATGTACATTTCTTATTTCTCAACATTTAGCTTTATCACACCTTGTCCTAGTCATGTGTCAATCTATTGCTAATCCTAATCTGAAAGCAACTATTGCCAATCCAATCTGAAACTAAATCAACACAAACTATTCATACTGAACTCTAACTTTAATTATTCCAAAAGGTTACACACAATAAAACTTTATACTTTGGTTGGCTAAGAGGATAACAATGTAAACATGTGTTTTAAGTGAAATAGATATGGGTATAGTGCAAAAGGATATTGTTTGTCCTCATTCTGCAGAAAACCATGATAATTAAACTGCCTAGATACTAGCCAAAACAAAAAGTGTTTCAATTGCTTTTAGCTAATGATAAATTTAAAAACCTGTTAACCACTATTCACAATGCTTTTGAGGAACATGCTCGTGACAAGAATAGGTACTTTAAATATTCGATATTGTTGTGATTGTCCAAGATTATTCTTTTAATTATATAGGTTCCCATTCTTTGGGACAATCACGATCCGAATATATAAAGAAAAAATGTTACACTTGAAGTATACATTTTTAATGTATATCACAACATTTCGGAGACAGTTGCGTCTCTATCATCAGACAATTTTTAAAATTGTGCAATAATGAAAGCAATAAACAAGGTAAAATCGAATTTTGATAAACCCTTCACCTAAATTATTGTTATTAATTCAAGTTTACAGAACAGGTCTTTACTTTAGGAATGGTGTTAGTTTAATGGAATTAAGTGTTTCATTGATCAAATACTGAACTTCTTTAATACTATAATTTATTTATTCGAAGTAACAGATACAAGTCCATGATACAAAGTATAGTAGTAGTGTAGTAGCAGTTCAAAATACAAAATATAGTAGTAGTGTAAATGCAGTTTATTTATCATTAAACTACTGTAGTTTTTTTATCCACTTCGCACTGGAAAATTCACAAAACAATCTATGTGGAATTTATGCAATTAAAGTTGTACTGTTGACACACCTTGATACAAAAGTAATGTGCTTTCTAATAATTCTAGTTCATACACATGAATTTATTTAATTTGACAAGAATGGAGAGTCAATTTCTTCTCTCAGAGTGTCACACCGTGTAAAATAAGGCATCAATTCAATTCATTGTAACACTTTGTAAAGAAACAGAAGATCATTGTAGCAATGCTGACATTTTATTTATGTCAAAACAGTAAAAACTGTGTGTGAAACAGTATGGGGAGAAGACACATTGAAGTTACATTTATGTCTAGTTGACGTTGACATTTTAAAGTTGGTATTAATATAAATTCAAATATCAGTGTAATTTGATGTAAATAAGGGTCAGGAAGCTGAAGTCTTGTCACAACAATTCTAAAAAAGTGCTGTTAAAAAGATTATAATTTAATTATAACAGTTAATAATATCAGTTTTTGAATTTATTAATACATAGACTGAATCTTTTACTATATGTATGACTTGTGTTTCTATTTTCATTATGTGGATAAATTCCTTTAACAGAAACTTTTTGTCTACTCATAAATGTTGTATATTAATAATGTAACTTGTTTTGGAATCAAGTGCCTTTTTTAAAATTTCGTGTTTACACTTATTTATTTAATTACGTTTACAATCACTAATGTAATAAGGAACATTTTTATTACAATTAATTAATAATAATCTGCAAGTTTAGATTAAACAAAAACAATCCTTTTTTAAATTTAATTTAATTTTTTAAATTTTCTTTTACAATTTTTGTTCGTGGGTATCCTTGTATGGGATGATTTTTTTTCGTTTCTTTGTTTTACTCTTGTCAATTTAAAAATAGGTTCTCTTGTTTTAAACAAGTTGAATTGTTAGAAAATAGGGTACAAAGGGAGGTTAAAAGTGACCTTTTTTCTCGTTCTCCTAACTTTTTAAGAGTAATTTTTACCTGAAATAAGTGTCCCGTCCAAGAGGACACCAATCCGCTGTCAACATTGCTGACATGATGAGGCACTTATAATCTCCGAAATTCACAAGTCCACTCTCAATCCGTTCCTGTCAAAATACACTTGGTGATCGTCTGTATTCCTCTCTGGGTCGTTAAATCTTGACAGCATTTGCAAACAACTTGCCAAAAGGTACAAAGCACAAATTAAAATTAACGATAAAAGTTTGCTCTCATTAATATAGTCTTCCAACGAAAGAATTCATAACAATCCAAATGTCATGATCTGAATCTTGGGACCAGGGGCCGGGAACTCGCGGGAACTACTTGTCTCATCTCGCGACCTGTGTTTTGCCCTATCTACTATGAAATAAAGAGCTTACATCATGGTTTTACCTCAGTGCTGCCTTTGTGAGTTTGGCGATTAAACGAAGCAAGACGTACTCTGCGGTATTTTTGAATGTTATGTCGTGTTTGGTCAGAAATTGTTTTAGGATTCCGTAGGATTTTGAAAACAAAACAAGATAGTGACCGAGGATGAATGTCAAATCTAATTGAATAAGATCACATAATTTTACTCCAATACAATAGTGAAAACAAATTATTATTTTCCTTAAAGAGAAAAAATAACCAAACTCCAGCAAAATTATATCAGAAATAAATAATACAAACATATCATTGCAAAATTTTATTCTCAGCACAATAAATTAATAAATATCATTTAGTTACTTTGATTAAACAGGAATAACATATAATGAGAATTTTACATTATCATTAAAGTGTTCTCCTTGGGTATGAAGTTTTGATCGCACGTCACCTTCACATCTACTAGTAGGCACGTTTTTTCTGCAATCCCAAATAACAATATCAGGTTTGTTTGCTGCTATCTTGGGATCAGTTTGAATTTGTTGGATATAGAGTATTGTACACAGTCCAACAGACGTCACCGGTTTCGGTGACTGTTCGTACCATTCAAAGTAAGTGTAACTTGTGAGCGGTACAGATCTGCAAGTGGAGGTATTACTCGCGCAACTTTTCTTGAACGATGTCCTTGATCCCCCTCCCTTGTGCAATAAACAGTTGATGGCAAAAGCTCACAACGGGCACTGATGACAACCTTCCAAGCATTAACACTTCGTTGGCGCGAAACAGAAGCTAGTCAAAGCCAGTTGCTTTCATAGTGCAGAACTCCTGTTCTGATTTAGTGTCAATATCGAAAGAAATGGCTGAGTCAAGTCCAGTTCCGTCAAGGGAGTCACCTAAAACTCCAGAAAAAGTTAAGCACAAGATGCAGTTTTGACTTTAATTTCACAGACGTTGGCTTTACTTAAAATACTCTAGTGGCCGACTTTGTAACTAATACCCCCACTCCGCCCGAAATCGTCAATCCATCATTCAAGAAAAGTTGCCCGAGTAATAACTACATACATGTTGTATCTTTACAAGAAGTATTCGGCCTTTGCTAAAATTGGACAAGCTAAGACGATATGATCAATATTTCTACTTGTTCCTGGCAAGTGCGGTTTTTATCAACTTGGGAATTTCTGAGAATCGCTTAATCATAGTGTTGTGTTCTCAACAATTGATGGGCAGCTATTATAATTGCTTCCGATTCTGGTTTCATTCTTCCTTTTTTAAGGCACATAAATGATTGATATCTGTTATCTGCACCTTGTCCATTCTTTTTAGACACTTTCCATAGAGTGGTTTGTATCTCCACGATTTTTTTAAACATTTTTGGTGTCTTACATTTTAAGTTAGGCCTGAGTCACACGAGGGTCATGAGTTCCACGCTTCAACGCAACGCTCGTGTGCAGAAGCCCTGAAGTAGCTCAACACCACCTAGATATACATCTAGTATACATAGTATACATATACATAGTATACATAGTATCCATAGTATACATAGTATACATACATAGTATACTAGTATACATAGTATCTAGGTGGTGTTGAGTAGCTTCAGAAGTTCAGTGTCTGTGTTATTCTGTTTGTCTTGCATAGTTTTCTTCGCAAAACACATAAAAGAAATGCACCTTGCCCATCATTTTAGATATTGTTCATGGAGTGGTTTGTCTCTCCACGATGTCTTTAGCAATTTTGTATCACATTTCATGTTAATTAGCATCAAAAGTTCAGTATCTGTATTATTCCGCGTGTCGTCAATAGTTGTCTTGCTTTAATGCTTCTTGCCACATCAACAATGCCTCTGTTTGTTTTGCACCTGCATGAGGTGCCAACGATTTCTTCTAAATCATCTCCCCCCCACGTTAACAATATAAGAATTGGGGTTGTCACTGAGCTCTGCCACTCTTCCGACTTTTAAGCATATTTATGACCCAAATTGTTTCCAATCTGAAGCCGAGGCAGATTTCTGGTACGGCGTCTGCAGTTTTAGTCTTCTTTTAATTTTTCTTTAATATATATCTCTTTAAATTTTACGTATTGATTTCGTTGAAAGTACTAATTTACTGGGGAGTACAGGAATTGGAGTTTTAATTTTTCTAGAGAACACCTGTTAAGTTGGGCTGTAACTGTTCTCAAGTGGTGACCATCTATACTCCAGTATTCCTAAATTCATCTTTTCATTTGTGAGGATTTTTTTCTATTTTACCGCGCTTTACGCTTTTCCGTTACTCTGCGGATAATGTGTAGAGAGCTCGTGACATGTTTAAACCCATAATTCTTTACGAATTTACCAAATTCCGTTCTAAACTGGAGGCCGTTTTCACTTCTATTTCCGGGATACCAAATATAGCAAAGGTTTCCCGGCAAAGACGTATGATTTCTTTGACATTTGCTTTAAAAGACATACTTCAAAATATCTTGAGTAATAATCAGTTATAATCAAATTCCACGAATGGCATTTAAAAAGGTCTAATACTACCTTCTACCTGGGGCGGTCCGGAAAATCGTCTGAAACAAACTTTTCTTTCGAGTTTGATCTACATTCTATGCATTCCGGACAAAATATAACCTAATTCTTCATTTGTGTGCTCAAGCCCTTCCACCAAACCGCTTGCTACGCTCGTGCCCTACATTTACCGACGCCGAAATATCCTTCGTGAATTCTCTGAAATAATTTATTGCAATGTTGGTGGAGTAATTAACCTATTGTTATACAATACAAATCCCTCTGTGTAGGAAATATTTTCTTTGAAAACGTAAAACGAACGTAACTTTTCTGGGACTTTTCCCTGATCTGGCTACCCATTCAAACAGTATTTTTTAACATACAACATACATCATCTCTTTCTTGTTCTGATCTTACGATTTCTAACATACAATCATTAGCAGCCAAATTATTCACAGTAAACTTTACATATTTCGCTGTTTGTAACTCGAATTCATTATGTATTTCTTGCTTTCGAATTGGATTCCTTGATTAGGCATCTTCTAACACTAATTCCTACTGTGGAACAATTTAATTAAGTAATTGAACTGCATGAGTCATATTCTTTGCAAGCAGGTTGTAAGATCATTAGAGGGGCAAGCTGATGCGGGAAGCAGTGGATTGTAGGAAGTAGGTTTGCTTGCCGCACTACTTACCTTGACAACTCTGGATTGATGTTTACGTTCAAAGAACCACCACCTGATTTTTAATAAGGCGAGGTGAGCACCTTTGGATAATCTGAAAACGGTTCTGACACCCGGATGGGAGCTATCGTGGAGGGAGATTTATAGACGACGAAACTTGCTTGGACAAATTATAATTAGAATCAAATTAATTAATGCAATAATCATAATAATGCATTAATTTGCAAGTAAGGAGGGCAGTTGTTCTTGATAATGAAGAATCCTGGTACGGGAGGTGCGCCATCACCACAGTGATACACCAGTTAATGTTGGAAGCTGGCTGAGAAGGCAATGGGTGTTGAAATGGCTCGAATGAGCTAGAAGTCAGCTCTTCCGACTTACCTTGGCAGTTTTGTTATCAACTCGGAAGACCACCGCGTATAATGCATGCGTATTAACGCATTCCTTGTAATTGTCAGTATCTTCAGAAGACATCACTATTACTTTGAGAGAATTCAGAAGGCATGTACACATTGACGAGAAAACATGTAATTAAAACTAAGTAAAAATACATTTGATGACAATTATGATTACATCTAAGTGGTGCAACGTC